GCACAACAGTCCGTGAAATTGGTATTATTACCCACATTTTATAGATGAAGACACTGAGGCTCACTCGCCGAGGTGAAATAACCTGCTAGTAAGCGGCAGGGTGGGGGTGGGAATGAGTTCAACTACTCCAGAACCCTTGCTGTGAACCTGAGCACCAAAGGTCCTCCCAGTCCCTTCTGCAGTTTTATTGCCTTCCTCCCCTGCGGCGACAGGGCTTAGAGGTGCTGGCCTGGTTTGAAACATTCCTCTTAGATGTCAGAGCTAGAAATTGTCACCATGGGAAGAACGCCAGCACATTCTGCTGTTGAAAGGAGACTGCTTTCAGTTTTTGTCTGTAGCTTGTCTTTGTCCAACTAAATTGAAAAATGCCACCAAGAACATTTACTGCTTGCTGGCGACGTGCCACTCCTGAGTGAGGTCCTGAGTTAGATGACAAATATGCCCACAGGTCCCAGGGTTCACTGCCTAACAGGGGGTGGGGGGCACAAATGTGAGTACTTGTGGGGCCCCACGTATGAGCCAGGCCCTGTGTTAGGCCCAGGGACACAAAGATGAGCCGGGTACAACACACCGGGATACAGGCTCCACCCGGGATGTGCAGAGGGTGAACCGGGCCCACCGGAAGGACTCCTGATCCTGTTGGGTGGAAGTGGAAATGGTCAGAAAAGACTCCCAAAGGACGTGGGTTTCAGAGCGACATACTACTGTCTGCACTACTAAAGAATTTGTTCAGATCATTTCTAATTCTTACACAATAATCCTATCGGGCAGGTATTATTATTATTACTATTTTATAGATAAGATATTAAGTAATAAGCGATCAGAGCAGTACGTGGCAGAGCCAGACTCTGAAGCTGGTGCTTCCAAACACGTCAGGTTGCCTCCGGGAACACTGTGCTAAGACACAACACATCAGGAAGGAAGAGAACAGGAAAGGGCAAGGGACCAGGCCATCGAGCGGGTGTCACGGAGGAGGTAAGACTTCAATGAGCCGTGGTAGAACGATTCAGGACAGGCCGGCACAGGCTCTTTCATTGTTCTAGAGCATTCTCTGGGCGTTAAGCAGGAAGGAACACTCTACGGAGTCGGGGCAACTTGCCCACGAGTACAGGGGATGGGTGATGATTTTGGTGGAGATGAGGAGATACCTTTGGGTCGTGGGAAACAGAAACCCACTCATGCTAATGTGAGGAAAGGGAAAAAGTCACACAGGAAGACGGGCACAGTTGGCCTCTGAACAGCACTGCTTCCAACTGTGCTGGTCCCCTATACACAGGTTTTCTCCAACCAATGCCTGCACTGTCTTCAATCTGCACTTGGGAAGGACCGACTGCATGCATCGACCTACACCTTTTACACAGGGAGCTTGCGCCCCTGCGGATTTTGGTATCCACAGGGGTCCTGGAACCAACCCCCCTCCCCCATGGATACTGAGGCACAATTTAAGTCTTGGGAGGGGGCAAAAGTTAGATGTGGATCTTTGGTTGCACAAGGCGGGCCGGGCGGGGGGGGGCAGGGTTTGGCACCACTAATCCCCGAGTTGTTCAAGGGTCAACTGTATTATTTTAAGCAATCAGGCGTTTAGCAGAACACAAAGGCCAGGAATGCGCTGTGGCCACAGGAGGCACGGCTAGAGACAGGACATGTCCAGCGGCCAGGACAAGCTGCCCTCCCACTCCTGCCTCTGCTCCTGTCCCGGCCGCCTCACCCCTCCCCTCTGCAGTCTGGCTCTCTCTGCCTCTCAGAGGCAGGGCAAAAACGCTTCCAAGCACTTTCTCGGATCTAACGGCTCTGATCCCACCATTCTAAATCCCAGGACAGAGAATCTGATTTGTTCCCCTTGGGCCACGCAGCCGTGCCCGGGGGTGAGGGTGGCTATTCTCAGAGAAGCCAGCACCTGGGCTGCAGTCCCCCAGAGAGATGTCCAGCTCTAGGTGCTGTCAGAACCGAGGCCCCGGACAGAGGGTCCTGAGAGGTCTTCGTTTTTACTTTCTCACTCTGTCCTTTAATACATTGGCTTTCACATTGATAATTCTTCTGTGGAGTTATTAAATCCATAAATAAAGATTTAATCTTTTAAGCTCTGCATCATGAGAGCAGAAGTTAAAAGAGCAGGCAGAGGACAGCTTACCAGCCTTGGTGGCCGGGGTGGCGGAGGGGGAAGCGCCCAGGCTGCGGGGGCAGAGCAGCCAAGAGAGGCTGTGGCTGCTGCTAGGGGCCCAGGGCAGAGGGACGGCCGTGCCCCCTGGCTGAGGGACCAGAGACCACGCAGTTGAGAGGGTCACGGAGAGCCTGGGCGGCAGGTCCGGGAGAGAACTATCCCGAAAGCTGGGAGACAGACATTCCAGAGAGTCTCAACAGTTCTCAGACTGAGCATGTTTTGACCTAAACGGGGTAGAGAAGTGGGGAGCAGAGGAAGGGGGTGCTTCCAGGAGCCTCACAGATAAAGAAAGGGATTAAGAAGGGATCCAGAAAAGCTCAGACTGGGGAGGAGGAAGAGGAAAGGGGCGCCGGTTCCTGTGTGGCTCAGAGCCCAATCCCAGAGGAAGCACTGACAGCTGAATCAACAACCTCACCCCTCGCCTCCCTGCTCCCTCCCTCCCACCGTTCAGGGGTCAGACAGCCTGGGCTCTGGTTCGTGATAAAAATGACAAGATGGACACTTCCGTTTCTTGGCAGGGAGACACTAAGACCAGCGCCAGGGAGGAGGGGATCTTGAGAATAAAGAAGGGAGCCTGGAAGTTGGGGCAGGAAACTGGGGCCAGAGGAGGGGCGAGGGAGCCCCACCCCCCAAGCCTGCCTGTGATGGAGAGGCAACATGTGGACCAGGGGTGGGGGGAGGCTGTCCCACAGCGGCAGCACCTCCTGCCTCTGGCTGCGGGTCCCACTTCCCCCTCCCTGCCTGTGACCTCCTGGGGCCAGGTGCTGGGGGCAGATGAGGGACTTCTCATTGGGCTTTTAGCCCCTCCTCCCCCCATCAGAGCTTGTGCTTTCACTGCCATTTGTTCAACCCAAACCAGAGGGCCTGCGGTGTTTCTGCCCAGTGACGGGTGATGGAGGCCGGCGAAGGGGCGGCAGAGAGGCTGGTTTTGAAGGATAGGATTCAGCGACCGAGGCTCTCCTCTTGAGCAGCAGATAATTTAATTTAAGGAATTTGGACAGTTCACTGGATCTGTCCACACAGTTCCACTCACCTTCCAAAACGCTTCCAAAATAGCACTAGCTTTTGTCCAGGAGCCAAAAAGGGAAGGGGGAAAAAAACCCAAAAAGAAATAAATGACAAGGCCCCAGAGATTTCTGCCCTTTCAGAAAAGTCTCAGTGAAATTTTCCAAAGAAATTATAAGCCCAGAAGGGGAAGAAAAAAAAAGGAAAAAAAGCCTGCCTTCCCCTTTTTCCTTGAGGAATCAGGCAAAGACCGACCCCACAAAGCCAGGCACAAGCGCGTGCGGCAGAGGGACCCGGTTCTTACACTCACACTGATGTCACCGACACACAGGAGCTGTTCTTGCCTCAGTGTCATCAAAAAGCCATTGGTCCTGTTTGCTGCTGGCCGAGATAACTCCACCCTCTAGCAGCTTCCAATCAGACACTGACATAGAGCCACACCAGGAGGGGGAGACACTCCCGCCAGGTGCGTGGACACATGCGCACACGCACGCGCACGCCCACACACGCGCACGCGCACAGCCACGTCGGCGCGTGGCTGCTCGGCTCCTGGTGAGCACCTTTGTCTCCAGGCTCCCCTCGGAACGCCTTCCCTCCCTCCTTCACGCCCCTCCCAGCGGTGCGCCGGGCAGATGTTCGGTGGGCAGACCCCTCCGTGGGCTGGCAGGCGGTGATTACCGTTTGCCAGCCCCACATTAGGAAAGAACTGAATGGGGGAGAGCCCCACTGCCTCGGGCTCCCACTGCCTTTCCTTCCCCCTCCTCACCATGGGAGCAGCTCTGCCTGAGGGGAGAAGACAAAGGAGGCTCACAGGGGCCCTGGCCGACCCACCCCAGCCTGGGGGGGAGGACAGGTGCTGTGTGGGCAGAAGACCATGTTCCTTCTCCCTGCCCCCTCGAGGTGGGTCACCATGAAGACCCCCGAAGTCACGTTTCCCATAAAAGCAGGGAGGGGGTCAGGCCCATCAGACAGCCGTGCTCCCCAGTGCTGGATACCGGCAAGGAGTTGGCGTGGGCCTGGTGCAGAGCTCAGCAGACTCCTGGAGACTGGAGTCCAAAACCCCGGGTTTTCTTCCTCCCATCCCCCTCCTTCCTCAGATGCAAACCAGAGCCCAGGGCACCGTCCGGAAAGGGTTAAGTTTCCGGGACTCCTGAACAGACTTCTGCCAGGTTCCAGGCCTGGGATGGGGAAGTGGGGGTGATGAGTGTGGAGAGGGGGAACGTGTTGGGAAACTGGTAGGACTAACATCTGAGACATGGTCACTGCCCCTCCACCCAAACCGCAGACGCTGTGGCAGCAGGAAAATCAGGGAGTTCAGACCAAATCCGATTGTGCAACCCTGGGGGCCAGCCCCACGCTCGAGATGGGAGCGGGGCTCGGGCTTGGGGGCAGAGTCTCCTCCAGAGGTAAGACTTCAAGTTCTTAGTGAAAACACATGCGTTCCTCTGGCTTCCACCCTAGACTTCATTGCCACTGAACTCCATTTTCTGGTTCAAAACCTCTGAGAACTGGAAGTGGAAACTCTGCCCCTGGGTTGTCTCGTGGCCAGAGGCAGGCGTGGTGCCACTGGTGGTTCTGGGAGGGCTGCTGAGGAGGAGGTGGGTGTGGAGAAGTTTGCCCAGCCTCCTAAAGTGGCGGGACTCGGCTCCTTCCCCGGGCGCCTCACAGTAAAATCTGTAACTAGAGAAGTCCCTTCTCCCTCAGCCAGAGAACCCAGCCAAGTCCCTAATGTGGCTGAAGAAGCGGAATGGGGTGGAGGAGGAAAAGAGAGGGTCATGGGGTGAAATATGATCTGAGGGTTGCCCCAAACAAACACAGGCGAGGAGCAGTGGATTTTCCTTTTAATGCAAGACGTTTCAGTACAAAATGAGGTGGAGAAAGTCCCATTCTTGAGGGCACCACAGGGAGAGAGGGCAGAGTTGAAAGTCTCCCAGTCCTCTCTCCTCCAGCTCACGCCAGGGCAAGAAACACTCTTGCCTCTGACTGGGGTTGCCCCCAGCGGAGGGTCAGGGCTCTGGTCCTGGGTCGCCTTTGGCCTGAAATTTGTTGACATGGGGCGGGGGAGAGGAGTGAACCCTTAGGGTTTTCTCTCTTTCAGCTCCAAAAGGATTAGTCAAGATCCCATATGAAATGAAGGGGCCATGAGAACTTGGCTTCCATTGGCTAAAAATAAGAGATTTTAACGACAACTTGCCCACATTGGGATAATGAGGAACAGGAAATTTAGTGGGGATATAAATGTGTGGAGATGAGAGAGACGCGTAACACAAGGTTAGCTCCTCAAACTTCTTCCTCTTTGTTCCTCATCTCCAGCTTATAGACAAGCTGGTAGCCATCATCCCAGGCATAGAGCTGGCGCTCTCGGGGGTTATAGCGGAGGCTGGCGTGGGCACCGTACCGGCGGGGGAAGTAAGGGAGTGATGCCCTTTCTGGGGTCAGGGTGCCGCTGGCATCAAAGGAGCACTGGATGCGGGCCCGACTGGCAGGGCGGGTGTTATAGACGACATACAGAGTCCCACAGATGACAAAGGCAGCCTCGGCATTCTCTCTGGGACATGGCGTGTCCCACTGCTGCTCTGTGTCCAGGGTCTGTGGGTCTAACTTGGCCAAACACAGGTGCCTGTCATCCTCCTGGGTGGCATAGACAGCCCAAAGGCCCTCCTCATCAGCTGCCAGGTCGATGTACGTGTGCGATGTCAGCCCGTACGGGGGGATCAGCCCCTCTGCTGGGAACACCGAGCTGTCCGCCACGGTTCGGTTGGCCAGGTGGAACTTGATGAGCTGCAAAGTGTTCTCCGACCCACCGCCCCCTCCAGGTCCTCCGGGAGGCCTCCGGGCATAATAAAGAAAGCCACCGTATACCAGCTGCCCTGTGCCCACCCAGGGGAAGGGGACCCGGATTCGGGAAGCCTTCCGGGCAGCCATGGTGAGGGTGAAGTCACGCAGCCTTGGGAAGACGAAGGCTGTGTCATTCTGTGTCCCATCTAACACGTAGATCTTCTCTATTGGCCCCAGTGGATCCTTGGTCCATAGACCAGCGGGACCCCCAAACCGCTTCAGGATCTTCATTGATCTCACTTGAGAGATTGTGTAGCCACAGTCTAGGGGGAAGGAGAAAAGCACAGGACAAGGAAACACAGGCAAGGGTTAGACACCCAATGCAGGAAGCCTCCGCCCCCAGGGTGGGACATTTGGAGGAGAGTGGGCATTTGCCCAGTGGACGTGTCCACTCCTGTGGAGGATGTGGGGGGAAGGGCACCACAGCAGCTCTCCTTCACGGACCTGTCCTTACAGAGTGGCCCTAAGACAGGTTCCAGAAGATGTGGCCAAAGTGGCCTGGGGCATGGAGGAGAAAGGGAACAGTGGAGGACAGACAGTTCAGTGTCCCCAGTAAAGGCTTTGATCCCTCCATAGGGGCTGGAGGACAAGGAAGAACACAGGCCTCAGGGTTAGGGGCCTGCTTTCAGATGGCTTACCTGTCACCATATCATACTTCTCATTTCTCCTGCCCTTGCCTTTGGTCCCGGAACCTCCAGCCACTTTCTCGTCAACTTCTTCACAGGGTAGAGCTGGGTTCTGTGTCTCCAGATAGTCAACCTCCCGCTCCAGACGGTCCACTCTCCCCGCGATGGTGTCGGCCTCTGTTCTGAGGGCCTCCCGCTCCTTCTCTGCCACCTCCAGCAGCGGCAGCATCTTGTTCTTGAAGTCCCGCAGCTCAGCAGCATGCCGACTGCTCTGGTCCTGGCACTGGGCCAGCCGTTCCTGCCGGGAGGGGGAGGATGGAGGGCTGCGGGCTCACAACTCCCAGGCAGAGAGAGGCCCGGCCAGGGAGTCAGGAAAGGGGAAAAGCTCACGCAGCCAGGCAGCAACATCCCCTTCTACCCCGTAGAAAGGAAACCAGATGTTCAGAGATGCTAAGTGTGCAGAAAGCCTGGCTCAGATTCACCCAGTCCCCTGCCCCTGCTATGTGTTCTCCAGGCTGCCTTCTCTGTGAGCTGGGCCACTGAGTCATTGAGCCTCTGGGGTGGGGAGGGGTCTCTGCTCTGTTATACAATTCTCTTAGGATGCTACAGACTTCAAAGTGTTAAAAAGGCAGGAAGTTCTTTGGGAGTTTGCAACTCAAACAAAATCATCAGCCCCTCCTCCGGTCCATTTGCCCCACATCCTAGCTCCCGCTTCCACCCTGTCCTTCTTGTCTACCGAATGCCACGGGGGAAACGCAAAGGTCTGAGTTGCTCTGCGAGCGTGGGGGAAGAAGAGGACTTAGAATTTTGAGGATCTTCTTATTACAAGGCGGAGTTTGCTGTCGGTTCTTACAGAGCCCAGTCTTCTCCCTAGATGCTTGCCCAGCTGGCGAGAAGAGAAACCAGTGTCTCACCTCTAAGGCAACTAGTCGGCGCTCCATGTACTCCACCAGGTGGTGCTGCTGTCCTTGAAGGGGTCCCGACCACGACAGAAGGAGCAAGGTGAGGAGAGGAGTACAGGGCCCCATGGCAGCGGGAGAGCGGGCCAGGGGAGGAGTGTGCACTCGTGTGCCTCTTCACCGGAGCCCGCGGGTGCGCGCGGGAGGCGGGGTGGGGGCGGGGCCTCGTCTTTCTGGACCTCTGGGTCTCTCTCACTACTCTGGAATGCTTTCAGGCCCTTTACGGCCCCGACCCCCTCCTTCCTGCCTGGATTGATCAAAGACAGATGGCCCCACTGCAGAGCGGCCAGAAGCCTTAACCGCCTCCCGCCTAGGCTGTAGGCTCCCCAGGAGAGGAGATGGAGTTGGAAACCCTCGGGCAGAGCCTCCTGGGCGGCCACCCAGGAAAAGGAGCTAGCTGGAGCAGGCCCCAGAGAAAACAGCAAACCATTCCCATGTTTAGAAGGCTTCCAGAGCTGACACAAGAAAGATCCTTCGTTAATCCTTCCCTTTCCCAGCAATAACAGCGTGGGTTGTTTTCTGCGCTGTTCAGTGGAAGCTGGAGGGAGAGAAATGGGGGAAATAAAGGCCACAGTGGCCGGCTGCATGACCTTCCATAGCTCATTGGCGCCATCTAGTGCCAAACCCCGGGTATCACCTCAGGATTAAAAGGGAAACCAAGGCTTAGACTTGAACTTCATGTGGAATTTTCCAAAGCCAGCCAAGCAGACCGAATTTATAGGGGTTTTCATCATTAAGACGCGGATTTCCCCCACAGACTACCCAGTTGCTTACGGGGCTATCCCAATCTCCCTCTGATTTAGCCTAAGAAAATGTACCAGATAAATAATTGGGAAAACAAAACCAAACCAGGTCATTGAGAAGTAAATTCTTGGTTAACTAGAAACATGACTGACAGCAGAGCCTTTCGATATGGCTTTCCTGTGCCTGAAAGGTTCTCGGTATTATATAGTCCTAACTGGGGAGTGTTCAGCAAGTTCACACTTATTTTGCATGTATTTATTCAGGGAAAAATATCTGAAAAATACGTATGTGCAATCTAAATCGAAATAAATGTATTCTGACTTCCCTACTAATGGGAAAGGACTATTGATAATTTCTCTTGGATATGGTTCAAAAGTGTTTCTAAATGTTTCTCATTTCTATATCCCAACTAGGACTTCGGGAGCCCGAGATGAACTGATGGCCACTGAGGGGTTTAACTTGGCCTGAAACATGTGTCAAAAGGAGTCAAATGAATGCAGCGTTTAGTCTGAGACCTGCATTGATTGATCCAGAGAAATCTCTAATTCTTTATCCTGAGCAACTGTATTCACTTTAGAATCAAGAAAAATCTGAACAGAAGTGCTGCTTCTCTAAAAAGGACTTTGCTTCTAACAAACGGAGGGGGAAAAGAACATTTTCTTGTGGCGAGTCTTATTTTTATTCTGCTACTTTAGATGTCAGGTGGGACATGCTAGGGAACCAAGTTTAATTAGCCTGTGTCACATGTTGCTGCCTCTTTGAAAGGGCCAGACCCCAATGATTGCAAGTTAGGGCCCTGGAACTCCATTCTCGGAGATACGTTTCCTACCAATGCCTACTCTGTTCTGCTGTGAGGTTTGTATGAAAAACAACTTTGTCTCTAACACGTGATTTGCCTATCAGTGTTCAAGCATATTTAGGTACTCCAAAGATGCCATTTATTGGTCTCCCTTGTACCCGTACAACAAAAGTCAAAAGCAGCCACATGAATCAGAAAATTTACCCATTTTATTGATGCATCGCAATTGCTCTACATTTTACCATATTATATAGAAAATACTGAAAATACAAGCTACTTTGTAAAACCAAAGACAAACATTGAATCCAAAGATAAACTATGTTTTACACAATGGACCCTTTTCCCGTAGTTAGTATTAAATTTTAAATATCTATTTACTTTGTTAAAATGATTATTTTACATACTCCCTAAGTACATCTGCATTACAAACATAACTCAGTAATTCTCAGAAACTGTTTCTAGAGGCTTGTTGTAAAAGAAAGCGCACAACCAGAAAAGGGAAAAAGCAAAAGAAGTTTAAATCGCACACAATAACTAGCATATCAAATACATTTAATAAAGTTGGAATTCCATTGCAATATCAAGGATTCAAAGCAGAAATACTAACATTACATATAATGTACTGCTACATGTAGTGAGATTATTTTTCAAGCTGAATCAAAACCACACATTATATAAGTTTAGCAACAGACAACCATGTAGACATGCTGCACCATCCATCAGTTAAAAACAAAACCAAAATAGGAAGCAGGCTTGGGCCATATCTGCCACTGAGAGGCAATTTCATTTCCTAACTTAAAACAGACCATCAAAACCAGTGGGTTTTTGCATAATAATGCTGAATAGAACACCCATTACTGTGCTTTCCTGGCTAAGGGCAGCCGAGCGTAGCCCCTCTCGGAGAGGACGATGGGCGCCCAGCCCTGTCTGAGACGGAGCCCTTCTTCCTGGGGCTGGCATTTAGCTGAGCACTGACCGGTGGGTCACCTCTTGGGAGCTATTAAAAACTCTGGAGTGATCAAGTGTCCTGGCGAGCCTGGAGTGGCTGTTCTTCACATTCACCCACTTTCTCTCTCACCCTGAAGGGCAGAGGCTGGAAAGGCAACTCCTGAGAGGCCTTGAAGCCTTAATGTGGTCTGAGGCCAGGCCACTGGGGCGCAGGCCAGCAGCTCACGACATCCGCGGGGCCTCCCCCATCCTGTCAGGGCCAGAGACGGCGGGCCCCAGGCACAGACTCGAAAGCCACGCTGAGCACATACACATTCAGCAGACACAGGCGGATTTTTATCTTGGTAAATCTGAAACGCCAATTTATAAACCAAGACTGAAAATCTCTAAAATCCTTAAAGCCGCACAATGCTAGTAGGGTGATTATGGTAACAATACAAGATCTTGGTATTGTCGTCCCCCGCCCTCCCCCATCTTAAATGGTGTATACTGGACTGGGGACAGGAGTGGAGTGTTTTGTGTCTTTTTTTTTCCCTGCATCTCAAGTTTCTTACAAAAACAGTAATTCCTATCCCTTGTAGAGGAAAGATAAGGAACAAAAAGATGTTTCCATTAGAAACTAGATCTGCCCTTGAGCAAGAAAACCAGAATGTGCTTGGCAAAAAGGAGACACAGAGATCACACACGCTGACCAGAACACTGCTTAACACTAGTGACAGAAACTATACTAACTGCTTGGGTACCCTGACCAACATAGTGCTAAAAAACACAACTCAGTATAATTTAAGAATATACAGAAAATACCGACGCGTTCCTGGGAGGCTGTACTGGCTGTCTGCGCCATCCTGGAAGCCCCTACTCCTTCCAATGAAGAAATTCCAAATACCCTGACAGCTCCTCGGTGTTCAACCCGGTGCAGAGCTCGCTGACCAGGCTCCATGAAATCTCCCGTCTCCCTCCTGCACCTCCTTGACACCATCTCTACAAAGAACCAGTCCGACTTATCCCTCGAATTCGTCATTTGCAATTCAGATGGTACACTGTATCTTAGGGTTAACCTTCTTCTCCCAAATCTTTTATGGGCAGGAACATCCCCATCCCCAGTGCCCTCTACTTGACCCAGATCCATGCAGGAGCTGAGAGTACAAGGACAATTTCACAGTTTGAAGGGCCCCAAGAACAGACTAGTTGTTAAAAAGAAACCTCAAAAGCCCAATGACTCAACTGGCTTTGGTTCCTTCTTAATATTCTTCACCGGCTAAGAAACCTTCTGTGAGTTCCCTGCCACCAGCGGCGTCACGAAACTACTCCTCGTAGTATGGGGACATGGTAAGCAATACAACAGGCTCTTTGGTATAAACACATCTGTTATGGGTTTTTTTTTTTTTTCGACTAGCAAATATTTTACTAGGAATGTCAGCTATTTGCAGGAAAGACTGCCACGTGGGAAAAGGGGGGGGACCCTCATTCTCAAAGTGATTGCACATACTTTTTTGAAAAAGAAAAAAATGCGTATTCCATACTGGCTTGCCTCCTCTCACCTGCTTCCCGAATGCTCACAGAAGCAGGGCAGCAATGCACCGTGAGAGCGCCACGCGGGGAGAACGGCTCTCTGAGAACTCGGCTGAGATGCCAAAATGGAAAGGGGGCAGAGTGGCAGAAAAGGAGAAAAGCTGCTATTTTTATTTTTCAATGTCGGCAGGGAAACTGAGAACAATGCATTTACACAACACAGCTACTAATCCTGTTCTGATAAATCCCAGTGAACAGTTTAGGGTCCACGGGGGCTTGCTGGTCCATCCTAAGGCAAGCTCACTGTAAACTCTATAACCACTACATTATCGTATAAGGCACTACAATAAGGAAAGGAGGAGAGAGGGAAGGAAGGACACACACTGAACAACTCCTCACCAGACACACCTGTGCAAAACAATTCCAAGGGTCTCCTCTCCTCGCAGGCAAAGCCCCTGCTCATTCAGCACTACAGTAATATGCTCTGATATAATTGCAATTAGTTCACATACATTCCAACAAGTTATCAGTTCATTTTGGTTTAAATACAATGGAGACACCAATGCCATCTCCGGGGTAACACTGGAGGATCAGATACACACTAAATACACAGTTCAAGTGTAATCACTACACATTTGATTACAAATAACATCTTGGGTTAGCAGGAAAAATTGCTTGTTATAGTTTTCTAATCAATATGTACATATTTAATTATGCAAAATATTAAAACACCACCATTACAAAACTTCTAAAATATTTTTAAATTCAGTAATAAAATTTTAAAATATTTTTTGCAATTCCTACATGCACTTATTGTGTAAGTCTTAATAAGAGAGCATTCAATTTGCTGCTGGCATACAAAGGAAGCTACTTTAAAGTATAAAAGCTATACACAATGTTATGATCTGGTTTCAGATTCTTTAGCTTTCTCCCCAGATAAATCACAGAGAACAGAAGGGAGAGATGAGGCGAGGAGAAAGAGAGGTGTATTATTGAAAATTCATACTTTACTAATCTTTAGGCAAAGCTCATTAATGCCAGTATCACATAATACAAAGAGATTTTTGCATATAATAAAACCACTACCACCATACAATAACAACCACCTTAATGGCTTTTCCATAATAAAATTTAAGCTGAATCAGAGGACTTTTTAAAAAATAATTTTAAAAGAATGCGCAGTGCTTCATTTTAAAAGAATACCTAGAGTTTTGTGTTTTCACGGCAGGTATGGATTCTCGCACTAAGGTAACCAGCAAATGGTGAGCTGCCTTTTTAGCACTACTTTGTAATAGACACAGGAGCAACGGAGAGAATCCCCACAGTAACGCAGAGCGGTACGCATTTTGCAAAAATAACAACTAACCTTTAAGTGTAATGTGACATGACAACAAAACTAAAACACTGTAAGTTTAAATATCTCACAAACAATAGTAAAATCTTGAGGAGAAATGCCTGATAGTAAAACAAGGACTCGTGAGAGCTACTCTTAAAGTAGGCGATTAAGTCCTGGTTTTTAAACAGCAAAAAGTAATGATTCCTCTTTCCTCACTTATTGCCAGATTTCAAGTTCTCCTATCAGCATTTTCCCTCTGAACAGCAACTACAACAAAACAAAGTTAAATAAAAAGGGGCTTCACTTGTTTTTAAAAGCATTTCTAGAAATAAAGTCAGAGAGGGCAAATATTTTTCAGAGGCTAACTTCAGAACGATTTCTTCCTTGGTAACTGCAGAAGATGGGCATCTGAACTCTTCCCGACACCAAAACCGCTGCCACAAAAATAAAGAATTAAAAATAGGGTGGACTTTGGGAGACTACAACAATGCAGTCAACACTGAGACAGGTTCCCGGAGAAAAACCTTCTGCTTCAGTGGCCCCTGCAGAGCGAGTTGCTGGCTAAGGAGTTTCCAGAGAGGGAGGGAGGGGCCGTCGGAGCCCGTGGCGAAGGGCTTGGGGCCTGGGGCCCAGGAGAGGGCCGCCGCGGGCCTGCCCTCGGGCTCCCCGACTACAAGTATGAATACTGGCTGATCTTGGTGGGGCTCAGTGGGTATCCAGTGTAGATTGCTGAGCCTCGGGACGACCCAATGTAGGACTGGGTGGCAAACTGGTGTTGGTACTGAGCAGGGGCCACACTGGCAGAGGTGAGGAGGCTGGGCCCCACACTGACAGGGACCTGGTGCACGAGAGCGCCGGGGTGGGCAGTGTAGGCTGCCGCGTGCCTTGAGGAGCCCTGGGGGGAGAAGAGATGAGCGATGGAGCTGGTGGAGCCCAGTGCAGCAGCGGAGGTGGGGGCGGCGTAGGTATACAGGTGAGCCTGGCTTGGCAGGTGAGCAGGCGCCGGGGCCAGGTGCGGGTGCCCTGTCGAGTGCAGCGGGCTGCCGTGCGGGAAGGCGTAGGGCGCTTGGGAGAGCGGGGCCACGAACGCCTGCTGCCTGCGGGGCGCCGGGTTGCTGCTCCTCTCCTGCGAGGCCGGAGCTGATGACGACTGCTGGTTCTGGAAGGAGGACGGAGGAAGGAGGGCGTGAGGAGCCTTGCGGGCACCCTGGCTCAGGGCATCAAAGGCCACGCTGAGAGCCAAGGGGCTAACTTACACTGCTTCTGGGCTGCCACAGCACAGAATCTCCCAGACGGGCGGTGCTGTCGGGGGTCAGCCGTCCATCCCTCTGCCTCTTGGCAGCACAGATCCTAACCCAGCCCAGAGAGCAGCAATTTGCTCTTAAGCATGACAGAGGAAAGGGGGGATCAAGAATTCAGAGGGTTACCCACTCCTGCAAGTTAGTAACTGTTGACTCAACTCACCCTATTCTGACGTCAGGGAATCTGAATTTTTCCTAACCTTTCTTTCTTGGCAATGTTTTCTTTTGTTCTCCTCTAAGTTCTTCATATCCCTCTTGAACTGTGGAGCCTAAAACACATGCACTAACTCGAACTTACATTTGCACTCACACGCGCTCGCTCTCTCTCGCACACACAGTTACAGCCTCACATGTACACTTTCTCACTACCAGCAGACATCACACAAACGCCAGAATTTGAGCTGAGGAAAGAGTGAACACAAATAGAATAGTGACTGCTCCCCTCCCCCCACCACGCCATCAGAGGATCAGATGGGAGGAAAAGCCCCAAATCCCAGACTCACACAACAGGTAGGACTAGAACTGGCTGGTTAGGTGGCCAGAAAGCTTTTCCCTGTCTCTTGCCTCAAGTAAACAGTGGGAGGCTCAAGTTATTTATGATCTGGGAGATAAAGGAAGAGAATCTGGTCTCAAAGAATGGGGTGGTGCAGAACTGGACTAAAGCATCTTAGGCTCTTTCTACATTCCAGACATTTCTCTGATCTCCCAGGACAGACCAGAAGGCCTGACGGAAAACCTGGGCTGTACATCCCACACAAACTTACACAGGGATGAAGAGACACGGCACATGCGGCTCTGAGGCAGGCCACACACCACCAAACTGTCTGACACAGAAGGAGCTTCATTTGGCTTTATTCAGCAGCCCCGCCAGAAGCCGGGTTCTCACGAGGGTAACAACAGGAAGGGCCCCGCACAGAGGCCAGCAGCCCCTGCCGCTTACCTGGCTAAGGTTGAGTGGCTGTGCTGCGCTGGCCCCGCCGCGCTGTGCTCGGTACCCCGTGGGGGTGATGCAGCATCCTGATGACTGCCCGCTCACCGAGGCCACTGGCTTGGTCTTACTGCTCAGGAGACCTAGGAGTCGGTCAGGCCTTCGTTAGTTGTGAGTAGCCACCTCCTCAGAATCCCTGGGCTACACCTCAGACGGCATCAGAGAATAATCAGTCCATGTCTGTACGTGGTTTGCAGGCGGAAAGCTTTCAGGTCTATCTTATTTCCTGAATTACATTCATACCAGAGCACAAACTGTACGATCCATTTCTTTTCTGTAGTGCTACAAAGCTCATAAAGGATCTTCAGCATGTTCAATTTGGTAAATATTATCTAATTTTCTGTAATTTGCACAGTATTAATGAAATACAAACACAAGTGAGGCACAGTTCCTGCCCCCACAGAGCCTAGTTTTATGCAGGCAGGCATTAAACAAGTGTAGAAAGGACACTGTGAAGCTGAGTTAGGTACTGGTAATACTTAGGACATGGAAGTACCAAAGGGGTTTACAGAAAGAGAAGATTTTATCTGGTTGGGCAGTCACTGTCTTCAAATTCTAAGAAACTGTAGGGCAGCTGAATAAGCAAGATCAATCTTCAAAATCTTGCCTCCTTCCTGCTCCCCCGAGGAGAGCGGGAGCACTCACGGCAGAGCCTGCAGAGCACGCCTGCCTCCGGGCCCGCGGCGGACAGCGCTGCTGCTGACAGGCCCAGCAGCCCGACAGAGGGAAGCTCTGCCTTGTCTGCAGTGGGCCCTGGTCTGCGCTTAGCACAGTACCCTCCATCTAGAGCCCAGTTTACGTCTTGTAGTAACATCATTCAGAGCAAAACGCCAGCTCACACAGATACGGCAGAGACAGCTATCCTGACACCAAAAGTGCACACTCCCCTCCTTCGGTGTGTGAGCTTCCACCGGAAAATAGCTGCCCAGCCAGGGACTACGTCTCCTGGGCCCCTTGCCCTGGGCTCGGACCACAAGATTGGTTTTCACTAGTTCTAGGGCTAAAGAGGTTAACAAATGTATGTGCCTCCTCCAAACTTTCTTTCTCCTCCTGGCTGGAGGCTGAGGAGGCCGAGGCCGTGATCCTGGACACACTGCAGGCCTTCCAACCAGGAACGCTTGTACGGGGAAGCTACATGCGTAAGAAGTGAGGAGATCTGCGGCCTGGTTCTGCGGTGAGCCTTGCCCAGCACCCAACAGAGCAGAAAGATGGAGGCAATCAGTTTGATAATAAAACCTAAACGAGCATCTCCGCTCTGACAGGGGCAGAGAAAAAATCCAAAGCACATATTGTTTTCCAAAGACACTGTTGTCATTTTTAGTATTACTGGTTCCTGTCTACTTCTGGATTGTTAAAACTAATTACCTGTGGTCAAAAGAAAACAAAACAAAAACCTTGCTAATTCTCCCTGCCACATAACATACGTCTTCTCCCATTAACAGTGTGTGTATTTCTGTGACTACAAATTCATCTTTTTATTAATCCAAACAAAATAAACATAGAAAAGATACAGTGATGGCCAAAAGTCACTTCCTAAGACAAGGAACTAATTCCTGAACTAAGTAAGGACATCTGTGCCGCCGGTGCCCAGCGTGGCGGCAGGACACTCACCAGAGGCCTGCGTTGCTACAGTGCAGTCACCAGGCTGAGTCTTCAGCGGAGGCACGATGATGGTGCGGGTGCCAGTGCCGTCCCCCCCGCCTCTGCCGGACCCCTCCAGGAGGGGTCCACTATTGCCCCGGAGCGCACTCAGGGGGTCCGTGGAGTAGGGGCTGCTCAAGGAAGAGTCAGAGTCTGGAGAGTCATTGACAGTGACGTAGCTGATGACATTCGACCTCGCCTTCAGGCCGGAGCTGAGGAGAAATACGGGAAAATTCAACCGCCCTTCAGCAGCGTTTCTTTGATGGCGTCTTGCCCTCCCATGGTAACAGTGATGACAACGACAGTGACCACCATAATAATGCTACCAGCCGCAGTGAACTTCTGGATGCTCGTTACGCACCAGGCACTGTCCTTACACTCCACACACATCTCCCTGAATCCTCAGAACACTTCTGTGAAGTAGGTACTATTATCTCTCTTTTGCAGATGAGGAAACTGAGGCTCAGGAAAACTAAGAACCTTGGCCAAGAGCACACAAATGGTAAGACAGGGTTCAGACCCAGGAGACGACGCCTCCAAGAGCACACGCCTCTAACAGCTACTCCGTGTTGCTTCTTAGCCATTCCCGTTCCCAGTTTTTTCAACAGAATTCCTCAAACTTGTTTTCCTTATTACTTGAATAGACTAATTTAGTTAAAGGCTCCTTATTAGATCTAAACAAACTTCTCACCATACTCATTTTTTTAAGTTCCTTCACAAACTGATCACACCTTAGTAACTTTAGTTTTTCCTTATTTATTATTATTTTTTTTTTAATAGACTCAGGTCCAGTCAAAGCAATCCTGCTGGTTACGTAACTTTTTGCCACTACTTGGATACCTACCCTCACTGAAAAGTTTACTCTCTCTTCCTCAAAGCAGTTCAATGACCACTTTCCACACTTAATGTCAAGTCCACTTACCATTTGTAAATACCATTTTGTAATTGCAGATACCATTTTGTAAATAGCCCTTTTGAAGTAGCTCATTCTAAAATTACTCTTTCAAGTTCATTTACACTTCACTTGTATACAGACAGATGACTCTGTTAAGTCTCCTAAGTTACTTTCATGTGTGAATCCTCAAGTAAAAGTGGGTTATTCCCTCTTCTGTATGCCTAGCATTAGAAGCCCAATGAAGGATCCAACTCAGGACAATAAAGGCAACTGACTACAGTATTTTCACACTAAGAGAGAGATGTGTATCAGTTCTTAAACGTATCCACTCTTAGTTAACTGCTTGGTTAAGGACTTGGATTAAGGTGCTGGAATAAGAGGAAATAATCTGATATTTACATTTTTTACCTTTCAGACCCTATAGCAGAGAAGAAAAAAGGTAGTGCTATTTAAATTTCTACCTCTTCCAAGGAAGCCTTTTCAGAGTAAGACACTACATGAGTCTCAAATACTCTCAGACTTACTAATTCATTCCAATTAACTGCTGTTCATACGCTTCTGTTACAAATCTGTTCTCAGACTCTACAGTTCCTTAAGGCAGGGGATTGTGTGTGTAGTACCATGTGCAACTCCAAGCCAGTGTAGCCCCACAACTTAATGTACACCTTCTATCTGGTGTGTCCGAAAGACCGATGTGACTGATGAACATGTAAAATATTACAGAAAACCTGACGGTGCCCAGTTAGGGGAACGTGAGGGCTTTGGCTCACTTGCCCAAAGCCGCGCTTCCAAAATACCGCTTTTTAGTTCTTCCTTTTATAGCCCAAGCCGGCCACTCACCTGAGGCCAACAGTCTAAGGCCAAGGGCAGCAGCCACCAAGCCAGTGAACTGTTCGCCCATCTTACCTACTGGGCTTGTACTTGTTGTCCTCTTCCTCATCGGTGTCACTGCGGATAGTGATGACACTCACAGGGGGGCTGGGAGTGTCTGGAATGATGATTGGCTGATGCTGATCTTGGACAGGGACTAGGGAATTATAGGAAGATGTGGAACGGAGGGGACTGCTCCCAACCAGAGAATAGACTTGAGAAGGCAGAACATCCAGAGAAGACCTGAAGGAAAAGGTCGTAAGAAAGACCATTTAGCTCTTGGACTGCAAAACCATATATCCTTTCCCCTCAACTCGCTCTTTGATTCTGTTTTACCCAATCATTAAACCAATACACTTAGCTATAAAAGTTCCAATAAAAAATAAACTAACCACCCTAGGAAGGGTTTCCAGGGACAAGAACACCAAAATACAAGAGAAACCTTATTTTTGTATGCCCTTTACCCCACGGTTAACTTTCACTCTGTAAAGTGGGCAGAAAAATTAAAACTCAAGCATAAGGAAGGCCAGCGGAGAGACGGGACCGGCTCACCGGGACACACGCGGGCGCGCGCCCGGAGGGAAGGCTAGCTCCTCCTCGGCCTGGCAGCCCCTTGCTGCCTCACAGCAAAGGGATCAGGCCGCAGCGCTCTAAACGCCGGCACCGTCTCTCCCCAACGGGCCCCGGGTTAGCTCTCGGCCCTAACGAGACTCACTTGGAAGAGCCTGGCGCAGACTGCTTATTCTTCTTCGAAGGCAAGGAACTGGATTGCTGCTGTCTGACAACGTGGGCGACGCCAACGTTCAGGGGCTGGGCGGTGGCCAGGGTCACGTGGCTGGTGAGCAAGGACGGCGGCTGCATGACTGTGCTGTACTGGCTGCCGTGGGAGTGCGCGTTCCTGCGGCAACAGGAGCGAAGAGAGGTGAGAGCCTGCCGGGCGGCCCCTCGGGGCGAGGTGGCGGGACGGCAGTGCCAACAGCCCAAAGAGCCGCGTCTTGCTTGTCACATAACACATGGCTGACGAGGCTTCAGGTTTTCACTGTATGGTTTCTAATTGTGTAAGACTTTCTTTAAATCTGAAGGAAATGATCCCTGAGCTCAGAACCTACTATTTTCCTGTATTCAAATTTTGCTTATAACTCTATCTCCTAGCCTGATATGGGTCCTCTTCTTAAAGAATTTCCAACAGAGACAGATGTCTCCTTTCCTTTATCTTCTTTCCAATCTCACCAAATTTCCAAGCTGCCCCTGACCTGCGGGATCTGCCCTCGCCACCTCCCAGAGAGGAACACAAGGCACTTGCCTCCAGTCCGCGAGCTGCTGGCCGCTGCCCATGGCCTCCGGGATCACTGCCGCGGGCTGGACAGAGCTGTGCAGCGCCACCCCCGGCAGCTGCTGCCAAGTGGACGGCAGGAGGATTTGCTGCGTTCCTCCAGGCCACGCCTGCTGCAAGGAAACACACACAGAAAGATCCAGACTTGACTCGTTCTTGGCTTTGGCTTTTGTATTTTAGATGAAAGAAAAACTCATATCTTAAAAGAAGTTGCTTGTAGATTGTTAACTTGCAGAGATTAAAAAAGAAAGGTAGGGGGCTTCGAGGTTCCAGGCCTTATGATTAGGGACAGAGCGCGCGCCGCTTTCTCGGGGCCATTCCTGCACCCTGGCCACCAGGGCACTCAAGCAAAGAAGGGCCCTGCGGCTCTTTAAGAGAGTCTGTTATACCACAGAGGGAAGGCGTCTGGAAATTCAGAGGTAAGCTCTGGTTAAGTGCTGGAGTATCATTTTTGCAAAGATTTAAGGAATATCTCTAGAAAGAGTTAAGATAGCTCCCTAGAGATTATAAATAGGAACTTAAATTTTAAGCACCAATCAGATAAGATATCAGGTCAATTCCACCCATAAAACAAAGGGGAGAATTGTTCCTTTTTAAAGAGTAGTACTTGGAAAATGGAGCCAGATGTTGATGACTGAAGGCCAAAATCCTTTGGCAGACAGGCTTGTGCCAGCAAGAGAAAGCTAACTTCATCTTTTATGGCCACTTAATAGAATTTTAAAATTAGGTATTAAGTGGAATACTTAGGAAATAGATGCAGAGAGCACCATATTTTGTTTTTAATAGTTACCTAAAGCATTTTGTTGTAGGTATCGTTTGTAGAAACATATTTCAACATAAAACTAATCACTACAAGAAGACACATCATTTCTAGTTTTTCACAAGCCATGTCCCTTGGAATAGACAGCAACAAATGTTTTCTGAACTTCTTACAGAAATTCTGGCATTTTCTAAAAAAATATGAACAGATTTGAAAGTTTCCTCTTTAAACTTGAAGTCTACAACACAATCACCTACAGTGCTTGGGTACATATGGTTCTGTTTCTTGAATTTCAAACTGCAAGGCCAGCAGACACTGTTTTAAAAATATTTCTGCAAGTAACAAATCCACTTGTTACCAATACTGGTTCCAAACAAGAAGCCTTTCAAGCAGAGAAACTGCAAATATGTCTGCTATCATAAGCAGAATATAAAACAAAACAAAAAATAAGAGAAGTATGTTAAGTCACACCATGCGTCTTTCCATAAGCCAACACCTGCACAAGACAAAGCATGTAGTTTAATACAGAGCAAGAAATGACATTCCAACGTGAGGCAGAAATCTGGCGTTCCAAGCGACGAAACTGTTTTGACAGAGGAAGAACAAAAATATGCAAGGCTTAGCAAATGGCCAGTGCAAACTTAAGAGAAGCAGCAAAGGAGCAGCGTCAACTCACAGTCCCAACCTCAACACTCTAGGGGGGCAATTAAGGCCAGGGGCATGGATCGATCGAGTCAGAACTGTATCTGACTGCCTTGAGTTCAGGCTTTATGCTTATAATTAATCTGAAGGTGCCAAAGACTTAAACTGAAAACCAAACAAACTTCAACAACCAAAGTATGTTTCTAGAAGTGTTTTCACTCACATGAGTCCTTGAGAAACAACAAAAGAAACTGAAAGCCTCTTTGAAGAATGGGGAAATATCAGGATTCAATCATATCAGTTGGGTTTTTAAGTGCTTGCCTCATTTTAAATCTCAAATAATAAAATGCTGGATTGTCCAAAATGCACCTAAAAATCATTCTTAAAGTTACAAATCCTGAAATACACCTCAAAGTCCTGTTTGTTTTTCCTAGCTCTAAGCCCCACACTACATTTGCTGCTGTATTTAATAACTTTTCCCCAAAACTTTTAGTAACAAAGATTGTATTTGTATAAAGTTTTTCATCCATGTTTTCTTTCACCTTGTATAAAGACCTATTTGTAAAATAACTTCTCCATAAACCCCTAAAAATGAGTTCACCTTTAATTTCAATCAGTAAATACTGTCTACAGGGAATGTCTTTGAATGGAAGACATAAGCTGCCTCTGATCAGGAGCGGCAAAAAGAGTTTGCTTCATGTGTTCACAGGAGGAAAGCTAACAGCAACTGATGAAGCAGTAAATTTAGAGGATCTTAAACATGTCTACATCATAAAAGGTTTAGAAGCTTAAAACACCAAATTAAGAAGGACGCTAACTTGGTCAGGAGTTCAAATTTTGGCCCCTGGGCACCTGCAGCAGGGCCAGACTAAGGCCATTTCTCTCATTCTCAAGGATCAGAGAGGGTAAACGCGAGGCAGAAAACAGACACAGCATTGAAGCTCTTCTGAGTCTGCACCCAGAGCTTTGACCGCACTAGGCTGGCAAAGAGGAGTCCAGGGCCCTGGCTCCTCCAGAGCCCCACTGAGCACCGGAGTCAAACGGTGCTTCAGCAAGTGTCGGGAGGAAAACAATGAGACATTAAAGACGCAGCAAGAACACAGCCACAAGATGGCACATGCTTCCATGCCCTCTGCAAAGACTTAGTTGAAATTTTTTGGAAAATGAGAAAACCAGAAGAAAACAGAACAAAAACGAACAGGAAAAAATAAACAAAGAAAGAAACCAAAGAAACTCCGTTAGTAACACAATCAAGTGAGGGGAATTACCAGTACAGCAGCAGTCTGTTCAACCAGCGCCGGGCGGCCGGCTGCGCAGCTCAGAGTAAAGGGCACCGCATACTGCGGTGTGATGGTGGCTACTTGAGGGTGGAGAGTTGCTACCATTAATGGTGTACAGCTTCCCTGAAACGTAGATTAGGCAGGTGAGTGAAACAAACACGGAGGCAGGTTATCTGGATACAGAAGGGTTCTCATTCCCCCCAAGTTATCACCAGCAATAAGCCGCAATTTCCTATCACCTCAAATGCGCGTACCAAACACGACTTTCCCCTTCAGCTCGGCCAGCATTAGCCCACTCGGTCATCTGTCAATGGCCCGAAGCAAAAAAGTATAGGAATCCTTCTTGGGCCAGATTCAAAGGGTCAATTCTAGAAAACTCAGTTCACAAAGGCATGTATCAAGAATTCCTACTCATAAATTAAGGGTTTGAGATTCCAGAATTTCCCATGTGTCATGGGCCATAAACGTTTACACATAGAATGAGAAAATATCATATTTGTTGCTTGTATGAACACTTCATGATTTTCTTGACCTCCTTAGTCATATGTTCCATGGCGGGTATAATGACTCAACGCTTTCTACGGGCCAGGGAAACACAGGAATAATGGAATGCGATGCTTGAAGAAGCACCCCGCTGTGGTCCAGCCTCTCAACTGTGATGACAATCTGGAAGAGGGACTAAAGGGGTACCTTTCCTTTTCAGAATCAAAAGGCTGTTACAGGTACACTACACCTCTGAAAGGGCCAACATAAAAAATTAACTTCATCTCACAAAATTAGGAGTATGCTTTCTCAAAAGACAATTTCCCAAAGTCTGGCTATTTATCCCTGCAAACCTAAGGAAGACATTGGCAGAGCTGGGATGAGTACATCGTTCCATTATAGATTCCATTTCACTTTAACGCCATTGAATCATGACCAAGAAAGATCTTACACTCAAAGCAAATACCCTTTCCTAGGACAAAATATCTGATTCTCAATAGTGCTTCAGCTACATGGAGCGTCCAGGCCGCTCTGGCTTTTACCTGCGTGAGAACTCCCGACTGGATCTGCAGCGGCTGAGCGGCGGGTGCCTGGGGGACGATGGGCACAGCGTTATCCATCCTCACAGGGAACCCAGAATGCTTTGTTGTGGCTTGCAGTCCAGCTGCGGAAAACAGCATCACAGTTAAATTGCTTTGCTAGGTCTGGGGGTATTGTTTGTTTGGTGGGGGTGGTTGTTGGCTTTCTGTTCAAATAATCCACCATTTAGGTTTTAGTTCTAGATACTTCAGACTAAGTGGTTTCATAGACGTCTGAGAGTAAAGGAAAAGGAGACATGGTTCCCCCGGGTGGGATTAATAAAAGGATGTCTGATGCAGGGAGGGTAAGTTTAAGGGAATTCTGAATTTTTTTTTAATCCTGCAAAACTTAAAACACAACACCCATCCCATTCCTATAAACAAACAGTATGGGCAAAAACAATTAAAAAAAACCCTTCACTTAGTAAATTACATCCAACTTTTAATCCATTGGAAAGGGGACATTAAATGTTTCTTAAATTTAATCTATTAAAAAGCAAAGGCTAAAATATAGTTATAACATTGGGTTAAATTAGGTAAGAAAATATTATGAAATGCTCAGTAATTTATCAAGTAGCACTGGCTGGTGCACCTCAGTGGATTGAGCGCAGGCCTGCGAACTGAAGGGTCGCCGGTTTGATTCCCAGTCAGGGAACATGCCTAGGTTGCCAACCAGGTCCCCAGTTGGGAATATGCAAGAGGAAACCGACTGATGTATCTCCCACACATCAATGTTTCTCTCCCTCCCTTGCCCCATCTCTAAAAATAAAATGAATCTTTTTTAAAAAAGTTATTAAGTAAATTATCCTTTTGTTCAGAATGTTTTAAGGGGATGTTTTATCCCACTCTTCAAAAAGTATCACCTAGTTTGCAAATTAGTCAAATATTTTTTCTTTAAACCATATGTGAACTACTTTATGCCTAGGATAAAAATATTTAAAAAGTAGACATGTTGCTTTACAGAAACACTTTTTTCTACTTAGCTTCAGAAATCTGCTCCTGTCATTGACAAATTTCTAATAAGCCTCTTTTGTAACTTGCACAGCTGAGAAAATTGAGAACTTGGTGCTGCCTTTAAAACAGTGACCATGTCTCTTTTATCCTTTTATTCATTATGTTCTGGGCAGAAATGCTGAATAAATGTTTCCTACAAATAGGAATATTTCATTCTGGGGAAAAGAGGGGCTCTCAAGAGAGTCCTCCCTTTGCCAAGAACCAAGAAGAGAGTCTTCACAGCTTGCTTTTAAACCTACTCCATCAAAACTTTCAGTGTAGAGAATTTAAGTTTGTCTTCGGTTTCTAGTTCATTAATGCCTTCCATTTTGTTAAGAATACAAACATTTTAACTAGATACTCCATCAGTGATATTTTTTAAGCTATCACCAACTAATTTCTCTCACTATTACCAAAGAGGTAGCAAATGAGCATAACTCATACACACTAATACTGTTTACAGCAAGTTGTCTTACAATTTTTTGTTTCAGTAATTTAGTAACCAACTATCATAGAGGAAAACATAAGTACAATGCATAAGAGACTAGCAAAATCATAATTAAAACATTCTAATTTTTAAAAAACTGTTACTTAGGTAAAAATAAGAAATAACAAATAGACATTTAAAAAAAAATATACCGGTCATTCTTCCTAAGGCAATGCTATCTAATAAGAAAGCTAAGTAATATTAAAATTCTTGTCTATATCCCCAGGACACATGGCTAACTGTATACAAAACTATGTTATTGTAATAGCCTCCTACAAATTAGTAGAAAGTAAGGAGGCAAAATTTAGGAAGAAATGTTCACTGTACAAGCTCATCTATGTGTCTCAGGATTATGAAGTAAGAGGACAAAATTACAGAATAGTTTCTACTGAACAAAATATGTACCTTTTTTGGTCAACCAGAATAGTGTCGAAAGTAGTATTTATAGTGCTGACCTACAAGTGTGACTCTAAGTGTTTCAGTCACAGGGAACCCCAAGTGGAAACAAAGAAATTAACAAAAGCAACACTTTTGAAAGGTTCTTCTCTGAACTAAAATGGATTAAAATTTTGTTTTGTGTTTGGTTTTTGTTGAACACAACCCTTTAAATTAAAAAAAAACAAAAACAAAAAACATGGCAGTTTGCAAAGAAGAGTACAACTAATTTCTGTGGGTCTTCTCCTTCTCTAAGTTTAGGCATTTTGTACAAGAGCAGATGGTGAAAGAAAAGTAAAGAACCTGAAATAGAACCGTTGGGCAGAAACCAGCATATGGCTGCGGCTGGCAAATCAACTGACAAGTCTTTACAGCTATTTGAGTTTAAATACTGAGAGGTCATGTAGAATAATACTCCAAAATACATAAGCTATGAACCTTACCACCTGGGTTCACACTGTGCATCCACCACTAACTAGTCACAAAGAATGGGGCAGATGAGGGAGTTATGACAAACTTTCATCTATAAATTGGGCATAATAACATTACCCACTTCCTAGGGTTGTCAGAATGTATTAGGACATGTGAAACCATTCAGAACATTAAATGGCACATATGGGGTTGGCCAAAAAGTTCGTTTTTTTCCATACAATGGTTCTAGTAGCGCTTAAGTGTTTTTACCTTCATTCAAAAAATTCTTTTTAGATTGTATTGTAACAGTTGTTATATCAGTGTGCATTTTTAAAAACTTATCAAAATTGGTGAATTTTTGTGTAATTTTAATATTTAAAATGGAAGACAATATGCAACATTTTCAGTGTCTTATGCTTTGTTATTTCAGGGAAGATTAAAAATGCAACTGAAACACCAAAAAGTATTTGTGCAGTATATGGAGAAGGTGCTGTGATTGATTGAACATGTCAAAAATGGTTTGCAAAGTTTCATGCTAGAGATTTCTTGCTGGACGACGCTCCACAGTCGGGTAGACCAGTTAAAGCTGACAGTGATCAAAGAGACATTAACTGAGAACAATCAACGTTGTACCATATGGGAGAGAGCCGACATACGCAAAATATCCAAGTCAATAAAGTTACTGGTAAAAATGAAAAATGTATCCTTTATTTTACAGAAAATACTAAACAAACTTTTTGGCCAGCCCAATAGTAATGTATACCAGCTTTCATCATCACCTTTAGCTTAATTTTAAAACTCCCTTTCATTTCAAAATTTTACAATTTGTTCTACCTAGCTCCTCAGGTGACTTAGACTTCCTCCATAAGAAAAAAATCTCCAAAGCTTATACTTACCTTATTATACCAAAAGGGATTATACCACTTTAGTCCTATACCTCTTCAGTTTACATTTTGTTTTGTTAAAGGAACTAAAAAGGTCTTATGCCTCATCTCTTAAATATCATCTGGGAAGCAGCAAAAAACTTGGGAGCCCCACATCTGAAAAGTGTCCCGATGAAACTCATTTTGGAAAAGGTGACAGGGCGGGGGGTGGCTATTTGCTAACTTCAGTAGAAAAATCACTCAACACAGAACAACCCAAAGGGCAGAATTTACTATTATAAAGCACGCATAAAATAGTTTTGTAAATTAGGCTAAATTTGCATTTACGGGTTTTGAATGTGCTCCGCTCTCCCTGGAGCTTCTCCCAGGTTTACATCACTAGCGCTCTCCTGTCCTCCCGGTAATCTCTCAGTCTCCCCCAGCCCCTCTTTTCCTCCTGCTTGCTCCGACTCTGTCAGAAACCAAACAAACAAAAGAGTCACAGTCAATAAGTAACGGAAATTGAAAGATAAAAATGCTACCTGCTTCTATGGAAAGTGCTATGAAAAACCTGAATCCTGGTTTATTCCCACAAGGTACTGACATGACTCTCTAATGGGAAAGTCACAAGTGTATCGTCAGAAAAACAACCTTAAAAAAAAAAAATTTACCTTTCAAATGGCTCAGCAGATCAATAAGCACACATTTCCCATAATTCAAAAAAAAAAAGGGTGGGGGGCTGAACGGACTGAATTCTAGAACAATGGGAAAATGAGAAAGGATGGGAATGTGAAAATTACAATCCAACACACAGCGTCAGAGCCACCTTCTTCAGCTATTCTGTTCCTCTACTGATAGGAGTTAGTAAAACAATGGGATTCATAAACTGAGGTAGATAATCTCAATGCCTTTCTCACAAGTACCTCAGCATGTAGAATTTTCCATTACAATAAATAATAATTTTTATTTTAAAGGTAATTTAAGAGGTTTCCACATTCTTAAACATGACTTCTATACTTCATAATGAAATTACCATTTATATGGAACACTATACTTTTATTCTATAATGAAATGATTTGGAAATAAGATTCAACATGTAGCAATTGTATTTACAACAAACTTTTTCAAGATTATATATTCTGTATTTCAAGAGACAGGCTTATATTGGGTTGGCCAAAAAGTTCATTGAGTTCCGTACGGATGGCTCTAGCAGCACTTACTTGTTTTAACTTCAATTGAAACAATTTTTTCGGATTGTATTGTGACAGCTGTCATATTAGTGTGCATTAAAAAAAAACTTATCGAAATTGGTGAATTTTTGTGCAGCCATTTTAATATTGAAGATGGAAGGAGATACATAATATTTTCGGCATATTACACTTTATTTCAAGAAAGGTTAAAAACGCAACTGAAAAGCAAAAAAAGATCTGTTCAGTGTATGGAGTCGGCCTCTACCCACTAGGAGCCAATAGCAGGAGAGAGCCGACATACTCAAATGTATCCAAATCAATAAAGTTACTGGTGAAAATGAAAAACGTGTCTTTCATTTCACTGAAAAAACTAAACTTTTGGCCAACCCAACACAAGATATATGACATGGATACAAGGTCTCACTCAATGGGCAAGAAAACTAAAACCAGGCATTTCAAATAAGGAAACATTAACTAAACTCCTGTAAAGTGTTGAGAGAGTAACATAATTAGATAAAAATAAAAAGGGGTAAGTGTACTTTCTTCATTTCAGCTATCTTCATAATCAGAGATAGTTTAAACTTGTCAAAGATCAAAACTAGTAAGGCTCTGCCTAAAGCAGGTAGGTTCTAATAGACATGATACAGGAGTTGCCGTACTTACTCTGAAAAGCAGGCGGACAAACAATAAATGTTTGCTGGAATGGATCTGTCTGCGTGCAGATCTGGGTGGTTCCAGGCTGCAAGGACACGCTCTGCTGGGCCACTCCGGGAACTGGCGCCGCGGACGACGGGTACAAAGCCGACTGGTAGTTCAGCAGGGAGACATCTGAGTTAGCCAGAGAAAGAGTAGCGGCTGCTGCAGTAGAACTGGAAGCTAAAACGCTGGCCTGAAAACAAAAAGATTATAGTACACTGGTATAAAGATAACCGTATTTTTATACACACAGGATCTATCCAGAAAAAATGTATTTTTAAAATGTAAAGCTGTCTCTGAAATCTCTGCTTAAGAAATTTTTCCAGTCTCTAAATTTAAAGCATATTATAAGGTTGAATAAGAAAACAAAGAATAAAAAAAAAAGGTCCTGTACTGGTTAAGGCTATATAAATCCCCTACCTTTTCTTTCTGTGCAAAAAGTTGCTGGATATGAGATTTCGTGAAATCTCATTTCAAAAGTAGAACTAGCTAAGAAACTAGGAAGCTTATATCTTCAGAAACAACCTTAAACATCACTGTTTAGCAAACAGATCCGAAACCACTCTTAAACCTAATTATTGGAAACACCCAGGCGAACTCAGAGAGACAGAAAGTAGATTGGCTGTTGCTAGGGGGAGGGCAGAGCAGGGCGGAGGAATGGGTGGTCAAAGGGTACGAACCTCCGCTTACTAAATAGTAAGTTCTGGGAATCGCGCGTACAGCATATAAAAAAAAAATATTGTAAACACCCTTCAATACATGTACTGAGACATATAAAATCCTCCGAACAGAGAGTCATTTGGCTAAAGGCAGTACAACCAACAGCAGTAAGCAGTACAATAGCCAGGCTCCATTTATTGACAACGCCCAGACTGAAGGCATGGATTAGGCCTTCATATTTAATTTCTGTCAGCATATGACTGATAGGTATTATTATCAGTCTACCCTGTTTAGTATCACTTTTGCCAAGTAGAAAATTCTTAAGAAGCAACCTGACCTCCAAAGCCAAGGCTGGTTTCTTTACGTCGCCCTGTATTCTTACTAGTTTTTATCCCACCCAAGTTTGACTTTCCAAAATCATTCCCGGAATACCTGATTGTGCACTGTGTTAAGCTGGTTGCTGAAGCTCATGGTTAGATTTGTGCTTGTATTTGGGGCAACATGCGTAGTGAAGGGACTCTTGATCTGACTCACGGTATCATACATGTGAACCCTCCGCTTGCAGATCTCCATGTTCTGAAAACAAGACTTAACACTGAAAAGAGAGATTAAAGAGCCATTGAAATGAATGCTGAGATTTCAACAGAGAGAAAATAACTCAAGAAGAATATGGACCAACGTCCCCCCCACCCTGAGTATTTTCAGATCAAATGAATCAAGAGTTTTTATAACCACAGGGAAAATACTCGTATCTATTTCATAATTTTTCAGTACGAAACAAAAGCATCAATGAGCCAAATACGCAAGCCCCAAACCGCTCTCACAGGGTCTCTCCCACTACCGGTGAGATCCCGGTGATGGCAGAGAGCCCCGGCCCAGCAACCCCCACCACGCCGCACTCACTGATTGCTGTGTGGGAAGTCCAGGAGGTGAGTCATGGTCACAAACTGGTGGTTAAGAGTTTTCAGAGGAGTAATTCTCTTATCTGCATCAATCGTTAGCATTTTTTTTAACAGGTCAATGTATTCTCTCCGATCCGCCTTCTCTGCCAACATGTCTGTTCCTTCTAAGTCTGTGGACATATTCACCTTCCAAGGAAAATTTAGAAATCTTACACTTTGTTACTTAAACTTTAATGCTGCCACTAATTATCTGCTTTCTCTCCAAACTAGGTATATAGGACTCAAGAGAAAAAACCAAGGAAATTATTTTTACTACAGTCTATAATCATTTTCACAGATGGAAGCTCTTATGACCATTAAAATCTTCACTTTGGGAGAGTATGTTGGTAGAATAAAGCTAAATAAACTTCTGTTCATTCAAAATCTGAATCAAACAAATGAAGCAAAAATGACTGTTATTACTTTAAGTTTCTATTGTTAAAAAGATTAAATAACATAAGTATAAAGGGTTTAAACAGAGTTTTAAGCACTTAATAAATGTTAGGTCTTACATAAGTATTTATTTATTTCGTAGAAAGAATGGACAAGATTTCCATAAGCATTATATCAAACTACTGACATGTAACAAGACCAGTTTAAGAAAAGCAAGGAAGAAATATATAAAAGTATCCTTTGTTACGATTCAAAGGTTCTTTTACTACATGACAGACTATCAATGCATTTTTTTTTTTCCGTAAAGAATTAAAATATATACAAGAACAACACAGACTGACTATCTTCAATATAACCAACATAAGTGTGCCTGTGAATAGACACACACAAATGTCTGGCTTTCTGGCAGTTGCTATACTCACCTGAGCCATGTCGTCTAAACAATTAAAAATGTACTTTCGAGCTTCTTTTGATTTGATTCCAGTCTCCAGTTCATGTTCTTCAGGTGTCTATAAAATACAGAATTTTTTAAAAATTTCACCTATATATTATTTTCACATTTTATTCTAGTAAAAGCCAGAATACAAAGAAACAAGTATCATCACCTTGCCAGAGAGGACAAACATTAAAATTATTTACAACTAGAAAATCTTCCAGTGGAGAGATGTGACCTCCATGTGGAGCCACCCTTTCAACAGAGACAACGCAAATAAGCAAGCAATGACATGCCTCAGTCCCTGAAGAATGTCAGATAAGAAGGGACATTAACATTTTTGTCTTAAAGCTATTTGGAAAGGAGATGCTTCAAATGCTAACTATTCAAAGACTCCGGAAGACAGCCCCGGGTCAGTCAAATTACTCTGGGATCTCTCAGGTTAAAGGGGTAGGTTCAGAAGCAAAAAGCAGAAGATATTTGTTTAAAGAAAATATAAAAGGCCTTAATGTGTGGGCAGTTAGAAAATTATGTTGCTTAGTCATATTTATTGAGAATGCTCTAAAAAATAGTCATTACTACTAAATGACTCTAGTTTTTTATATGACTTACTGGTGAGCACTACTCTCTCTATCCCTTTCTCAGATGCTGATTCAAATAGTCAAAATAACCTTGGCCAACTAACAGGCATTTCAAGTTTTGTTTTTTAATTAAGGATAAGGCCAAATGGGTGCGTTGAAGTAATTTTTCAAAGTGTTCCCTCCTGCAAACCTACATTCCCCCCTCCCCCGCCCCGCCCCAGTCCTTCTACCTCCTCCAGCTCAGGAATAAACTTGGATAACCAACCAGGAAAAACAGGTGATGTCATCTTAAAAAGAATAAACTTTGAATTCAAAGTTGGGCATGAGAAGAACAGGCATGGGCAGTATAGCGGGGGGACTGACCTTAAGCCTCCACAGTGGGTACCCCAAATTAGGGTCTCTGTTGAAAAACCTAGTTGTTTTTGTCCCGGCACTGAGGAGGTATTCAGCTGGCAGACCTTGTGTTTGTGAAATATAACGAATCTGAAACATCAAAACATTGATTTGGAGTGAAAAGAGCAATTATTAAAAACTTTGACACTAAAACATTATTAGCTCTAGGCAAAAAATAAAGCTACCACAATGAATTAACTCATTGAAGAATACAAATGAAATTTATCTATAAATACATATATAAATTTATATCTATCTATATATATGTATCTCTCTCTCTCTCTATATATAGAGAGAGAGAGAGATATACACGCTAACCCACTCACAAGTAATTCCCAAATATTTATTCAGTAGTTTTCTTGTTACTCTATCTGTGTTTTAGAAGGAAACTTTAGTTTTGAAAATTTTGTGTAATCTTTTTTGTTTTTTGTAGACTTCTGATACAAAATTCAGAAAACTTTAGGACATTTCTAGGACAGAACAGAATGGTTTTCAACAAACTCTATTTCATGGATTACTAAGGACTTTTTTTTTTTCTTTCTTTGTTTTTTTTTTTTTTTTTTTTTTTTTGGTATGTTATCAAATTAAAACGATCAGGAACAATTTCTATAAACCTCTTTCTTCCTCGGCTACTCCAGCTCCTGGTCAACTGCCCCTACTCTAAATTGTCCCTACAGAGATGGTCTCTCATACCAAAAAATCAAGCACTTAATTTAGCTTCCCTATCAGTAGAGGACAAATACTGTGTTCATCCACTTAGCATTTACTGAATCCTGACTACAAACTAGGCCAACAGTTCTTGACTGTGGCCTAGGCACCCTTTGGAGTCCCACCCCAAGACCCTTTCACGAGGTCTGTGAAGTAAAAATTATTTTCATAATAATACTAAGAGGTTATTTGCCTTTGCATTCTCTTCTCATGAGTGTACAGTAGAAACTTCCAGAGGTGCTATGTGATGATGTCACTGCTCTGATGGCTAACGAAATGTGTACTTGCATGTGGTTTGTTTTATGAATTACCCAATTTAACTGTTCACACTTCTGGCTGCTTCTCCCAACACAGGAAAGCAATAGAAGAGCCAATCTGTTTCTCTCCCTACTACTGAGGGCAATATCAGAGGCAACTTCTTTTGCATACAAAAAAAAAAAAAAGTAAAATGTTTTTTAAAATCCAGAATAAAATCTGTACAATGAAATACTATGCAAACATTTAAAATGATAGGGTAGAAGTATACTTATTAACATGTAAAGATGTATTTCTGCAATATACAACAGAAAAGGTAGATTACAAATTAAATATAATTTCACTTACTATTTTTAAAAAATTACTTCTAAGAGACACTTTTTTTTCACATTCACAGCTTTCAAATCAGGAGATGTCTTACAACTAAGAGCTGCTGTGGTTTAATTGGCAACATTTTTTCTTAGAGGTACAGAAAAGTGGTGCATCTTTCAATCAGAGGTGTCGTGGATTTGATAAAATAGAGTATATATGATCCTTTAAATCCATAAATTTATATTTGGAATATAACTATATATAGCATATATTCAATCATTCTTTCAGTATTTATTGAGCCAGGCAGTGATTTTAAAAATAGACGTGGTTCCTGCTCTCATAGACCCTGAAGTCTAGTGAGGGAGACAAGACACTGAATGCATAATTCAAATCAGAATAAATAGGCTTCCATAAAAAATACATAAAAAAGAAACCTGACCTAGACTGGGGACTGATGAGGAAAAGCTCCTTGAGGAAGTGACACTCGAGCTGATAAATGAGCAGACATTGGCTGGACGAAATGAATGGCTGGTGGAGAAGCTTCTGACTATGAGAACAGTATGTGCAAGGGCTTGGCCTGGGAGGAAGCAGTGCTGAAATGATGCCAATAGGGCGAACGTATGTAAAACAGGAAGGAATGCTGTAAGATCCATCTAGAGAGAAAGACAGGAAGGGGCAGGACAACCCAGGTAGGGGGCTCAGAGGTCATATTAGGGATTTAGCTTTTTGTTCTAAAAGTGACGCGAGACCACCGAAGGGCAGGGGACTGGCATGATCAAAGTTATGTTTTGGGGAAAAAAATAAACCACTCTTAGAGACCAGACCAGAAGCAGGGAGATGGTCTAGGCCAGGAGGAAGACAGCCTGGACTAGGGCGTGGCACTGGAAAAAAAAATAAGTGTATTCAAGAGGCATGAAGACATAAGTGGTCATGAGATACACACATTCATGTGCACACACAGCAAAGTACTTTTCTTTCTCCACAGAATTTCCCTTAATTGCAGTATGTCATTATTTGTATGATCATTTACGTAATGCCTGTTTCCAATACCAAACTCGAGCCTGCGGGCAAGGACAATGTTTTATTCAACACTGCATCCCCAGGGCCCGGGGTACCTCACACAAAGTTCGTCCTCTATAAACACATGATGAAAATTAACAAATTATATACATATATGAATAAATGCAAAATATATGCAAAATAAATGCAAAATAAATGCAAAACCTCACAGGTTACCTCTGAGGGGCAGAACCACTGTGGTTCAAATTTCTGTCTCTAGGCTCACCTCATCTTTAATTTTCCGCTTACGGAATTAAAACACTTAAAATTTTAATGTTATGGAATGAAAAAATTTCACTGTGGAGGTAGAATGGGAAGCTATTATCCAGATACTACTTTTCATATAGCTTAAAATAAAGAAACAACAAAAGCTCCACAGCTACACAAAGAATTGTCACTTGTTATTTTAAACAATCCTAATGTTCCTCCAAATTTTGAAGCCCCCAATATCTAGAGAGAGTACACACATTTGACCTCAAGATTCACAAACATCTGCTATGAAATCTCAGCTAAAACATCTATGAAAAACCCAGGGCTGACAGCACACTTACTGATGAAAGAGTGAATGCCCTCCCCCTAGAATCAGGAACAACATAAGGATGTCCACTCTTGCTACTGGTGTTCAAGACTATAGCAGTGATTTAACACAAGGCAATTAGACAAGGGAAAAAAGGAATCCAGATTGGAAAAGAAGATGCAAAACTCTATTTGTAGATGACATGATCTTGTAGTTAGAAAATCATAAGGAATTCACACCAAAAAAAAAAAAAAACAACCCCAACTATTAGAACTAGAGTTGTATTAGAAAACTATTAGAAAAAAGAGTTCAACAAGGTCACAGAATATAAGATCAATTACAAAACTTACAGTATTTCTATATACTAGCAATGAACTGGAAAATGAAATTAAGAAAATAATTCCATTCATTATAGCATCAAAAAATAGAATACTTAGAAATAAACATAACAAAAGTATAAAACTGGTACTCTGAAAATTACAAATCATTGCTAAAGAAAACCTAAATAAATGTTTACAGATCAGAAAACAATACTGTTAAGATGGGGATACTTTCCAAAACAATCTACAGATTCAATGCCATCCCTATTTTTAAAAAAGCAATGACTTTTTTGGCAAAAACAGAAAATGCACTCTAAAATTAATGGAAAATCTCAAGGAACCCTGAATAGCTAAAACAATCTTGAAAAAGAACAAAGAGAATTCACATTTCCTAATTTCAAAACTGACTATGAAGCTACAGTAATCAAAACAGCATGGTGCCGCTATATGGGTATAGGATATGGATCAATGGAATAGAACTGACAGTCCAGAAATAAACCATTATATTTATGGTCAGTTGATTTTTTGACAAGGATGCCAAAACAATTCAACAGGAAAAGAATAGTCTTTTAGTAAATGGCACTGGGAAAACTGACTATCTACATGCAAAAGAATGAAATTGGACCCTTACCTTACACCATATCCAAAAATTAACTTAAAATGGTTCAAAGACCTAAATGTAAGCGCTCAAGCTATAAAACTCTAAACCTCTTAGATGAAAACATAGGAGAAAAACTTCATGACATTAAATTTGGTGACAATTTCTTGGATGACACTCAAAGCACAAACAACAAAGGAAAAAACACCAGCTGGACTTCACCAAAATTAAAAACTTTTGTGCATCAAAGGATATGACCAACAGAGGAAAAAGGCAACCCCACAGAATGGGATAAAATATCTGCAAATCATATATCATGGTAAGCGGTAAATACCCAGAGTACACAAAAAAAATCCCTGAAACTCAACAACAACATAAAACAACCCAATTCAAAAATGGACAATGGACTTGGACAGACATTTGTCCAAAGAAGATATACGGATGTCCAACAAACACATGAAAAGATGTTCAATGTCACTAATCACTAGGGAAATGCAAATCAAAGCCACAATGAGATAACACTTCGTAAGGATGACTATTATTAAAAAACAATAAAAAAAACCCCAGAAAATAACAGCGTTGGCAAGAAGGCGCAGAAATCAGAACTCTTGTGTTCACTCCATCAGCACACACACCGAGGCTGGAGTGGTAGGGAAGGTTAGCGTGGCCCCTGAGTGAGGGTGACACATAAATTCATGAAGTGTTCCACGTTTTTCATGCGTTACTTTTATAAGTTGGAAACTAAAAGGAATAAATGTTGTTCTAATAAAAAAAGGAAATTAGAACTCCTGTAAATGCTGATGGAAATGTAAAATGGCGTGACCACTGTGGGAAACAGTTGGGTGGTTCCTCAGAAAGTTAGGCATAGCATTATCATACGTCCCAGCAATTCTACATCTAGCTATATATGTATTCAAAAAAACTGAAAATGGACATAAACACTTGTACACCAAATTTCACAGCACCATTATTCACATAGTCGAAATACACACACACACACATACACACACACACTAATAAATTCAGCCATAACAAGGAATGAAGTTCTGATACATGCTACAGCATGGGTGAAAAACATTATGCTAAGTAAAAGAAGTCCACACAAGAGGCCACATTTGGTGATGGATATGATATGCTAGAATAGAATAGTCAAATCTAGAGACAGAAAGTAGATTAGTGGTTGCTAGATGAACTCACTTTAGAGATGCAATATGGCTCCAGCTGCAAAGGCATCTGGGGAATGTTGAACTCTCTCTGACTGTTCAACTCTCTGTAACCTCACATTTGGCTGGCTACCCAGGAAGCCAGAATGCCACCCAGAGACAAACTGTCATGCCCCAGGAGGGACATAAATGAATGTATAGAGTGTAATAAATGCCTGATGTTATCTTTTAACTTAGGAATGCCTTGTTCTCTCTGGTGGTCTATATGACTGCCCACCATGTGGTTTTGCTATTAACCCCCTTTAAAAAGGGACCCTGGAGGTGGTGTGGGATTCTTCCCGGCCCACTTCTCCCTGCTAAATAAAGCTCTCATGAATCTGGACAAGGCTGCATGTCAGTTCTTCAGATTAACTGCCAAATCTGAAATTGACAAACTTAAGTGTTGGGGGTTCTCCCCCAACAGTTGCCCAGGGCAGGGACTTGGGGAGAATGAGGACTCACTGCTAAGTGATGAAAATGTTCTAGAACTGCTGTAATGTTTCCTAGCCCTGTGAACATACTAAAACCATTGACTTGTACAATACACTTTAAATGGCTGAGTTATATGGTATGTGAGTTACATCTCAATAAAGTTGCTTTTAAAATAAGGATGCCATCATAGGAACCTTTTGTACCACCAGAGATGCAAGACAAACCATCCCCTGCCCTGCTCCACAGCGGCAGCATCCAGCCACTCAGCACGGGGACAACTTCCTCTGCCGCCCCCCGTTTCACATTTATGCACCGCACAAAAATTCTCAAAACTATCAAATCATTTCTTTACAAGGAAAGCCCCAGCTGTACCGTAGCTTCTAAATCTAATTTTATTTGGTTCCACTTCCTGGGAAATTTTATAATACCAACCTGTTTACTAAGGTCGAAGAGATGCCACAAAACGTTTGGGCTAGGAACTGCACTTTGGCAGCTGTAATTGCTCAGAGCAAGGTTTCTTAACCAGGAGTGTACAAATCCCCTAAATTTGTACACGAAACATTGTGTGTGTATTTTTCTGAGGCGATCCATAGCTTTATCAGATTCTCAAAAGGGTCTAAGACCCAAAAAGGAGAATCAATAGCTTGGTCCAACCAACTATAGTTTTGGATCATTTAATCTCCCTCATACTTCTTCACAGTTGTTATAAAATAAGGAAGGTGATTTGCTCCTCACAAGACAGAAGATTACAAAGCACAATGTAACTGGTTACTTAGGACATGAGCAACTCACTTTTTCATGTTTCATTCAAAGACAGGCCCAAAGAGTCAAATTTTTAGAGGTTGATAAATGTTGCATCTACTCTAAAATAGAACGAGGAATCAAAATTTTAGGCTGAAGAGGGAAAAAGGATGGTTTTGCTCTTGTTTTCTTTCAGTAATTCCAGAAAACCATTTATTCCATAATAAAAACCACCAGATCAGATCGGTGCCTGCAGATTTCCTTATGATCTTATCAAGCACAAACGGAATCATCCTGATGCCGCAAACAAATTGGCTGCTTATCCCTTCAGTGCTCGTCATCAGGTTCCTTGGACCGAAATCCTACCTCAGGCTGTGAGGACAAAAGTTGTGTAGAGCAAGATGTTGTCAACCAAACCAGAAATCTCAGACAAGAGACTCCGGCTGAGAGGACGTGGTAGTGCCCTCCCTGCGGTGAGGACTGCGACAAATGTCTGTGGGAAGAGACCAGCACCCCATTGGTCGGGGACAGAGCCAACCGCTGTGGCAAGAAACGTCGTGCGAGCAGCCTAGTTACGGAACAGAAGAGCAGCCTCGCCCCAGGCATGCGCGTTCCCGAGCCTCTGCCGCACCGCATGTTCAGCCGTCGAAAAACAACGAAGTGCACAGTTACTGAGTATCTCATCAAACGCCTGAACCTAGAAGGCTCTTGCTTCTTCCTGCTACAAGTGAGTTCTTCATTTTTCTCTTAGTGTAATTATAGAAAGATACACTGTATGCGACTTTCAAACTGGGGGGGGGGGAGTAGAAAACAAAAAGAATCCCTCCCCCAAACTTCATTGTACCTACTATGTGCCAGACACAATGTCAACAGCTGATGATACACTGATGGAATGAAACAGTCACTGCCCTCAAAAACCTTAAAGTGTAAATGGTGAGACCACTGTTTTTTAAAGAACAAAAAATAAGAATTCACAATTTATTTCCTTGGCAAAACTTTTCCCCTTGGGACCAACTCCTCAGGAAACGCAGCATATCATCTAAGGCTTGTCTGTTTGTGACATAGGTCATTTACTGCAATCCTTTTCAAGTCCTATGATTTCCCTCCCAAGTCCAATTTTACAGCGGTGCACTATGTATCCCCGGCGCTGGGCCCATGTGTCAGTACGCAGAGAGCACTTACTTCAGTGCATGTCCTGTACGAAAGAAATAACAGGTGCGAGTGAGCCAGCTCACTCATAAACTCCCGGCTCCTCATCCTTACTTTACTTCCATATCAGCTCACGAGATGCCTTAGTTAACCAAGGTTAACACTCTAATAAATCATTACGGATCTGGAAAAGCACCAATCTAAAGTAATGTAAAACAAAAGCCCTTTTTAATTGTGGAACTGCAAATATAACTTCAGACTAAAAAGCAGGTAGAGGAATTTCTATTCTTTAAAAAATTCTTTCTAAATGGACAACTCTTTCCCTACTATCGACTTCACCAGTACTTCTTTCCCTCTGGACTCTATTTCACTAGTGCGTACTTCCTTTCTATTTCTGTTTAATAAACACTCTTACCTGATCATATTCTGAAGCACCAGGATAAAGAGGCCATCCCAGGAACAGCTCTGCTATCACACAGCCCAGTGACCACATATCAATAGCTTCACAAAATGGCAATCCAAGAATAATTTCAGGGGCTCTAGCAAAACAAAAATAGTAGATAAAAAAAATACACGTTATTTGGGAAAACGAACAGAGTTCGCTAAATCCTGTTTCAGTATCAGTTAAGGATACACTGATTTAACTGAACTGAAAATGTCCTTTGGTGTACAATCCGTCAATCGAAACTCCTAGGGCCCGGTACATTTTGGTATTCAGGATTGTTCGTATTTCACAAAGATACTACCATGTATACACTACATACTACATAATAATTCCAAAGGAGTTTACAAAAGCACTCATAATCCAATACATTCATATTTCTGCAACAAAGCATATAAGCAGTCATACTAAGTCAGCTAAATAAAGACTTTCAACAGCCTAACACTGGTTCAGGTCAGGTCTTGCCAATAAATGAGTTTACACCAAACTTAGAAAAAGATTTTTAGTTTTTAGAGCTTTCTAAACCTTGAAATCACGAATGAGGAATCATAGAGCTATTATTTTTACCCTTAGCACCTCTTCAATTATGGAAAAAACAATTAAATGGCTTGGTCAATGAATACCTCTTTGTAACAGAAATGACCTCTATAGAGACACAGTGGTCAGCAGCAGGGCTCTTGGGCCAACCTATCAGGGTTCAGATCTGGGTTCTATTTTTTAATGGTTACAGACAATTACTTAATGCCTCTGTGCCTCAGGTTCCTCATTTATAAAACGAAGATGAGTGCCTACTGCCTAGGGTGTTATATGGCTTATACAAATAAGCAATTAATAATAATAAGTATTAAAGCTCTTGTACAGTAAGCTCTTGTACCTGGCACATGGAAAGTACTATATAAGTGTTGGGTATAACAATAACTATTATTATTATATTATATTAGCATTATTTTAAAACTTTGAGTTTTTTGTATGCTTTTAGAAATACTCATTTCCATTGATGCTTAAAGAGAAGACGAAGGTAATGTCATAAACTTAAAGCTTTATATATATGAACACATCCAAGGCAAAATTGTTATCCTCATTTATGGAGGAGGACACTGAGGCAAACACACTAAGTAATTTGCCCAAAATCAGATAAGTGACAGAGCTAGAATTTGAATCCTGGCAGTCTCTCTGGAGTGGAGTATATAATACTGTCCCTAAATAAGTAAAAGTATATACCCATCTCTAAAAATCTATTTGGCACAGTAGTATATAAGACATGGCATTTTTCAAAGTGTGACTAAAGACAAATGATTCAGAAAGGGAATGATAATAGGTAATACTATTATCAATAATACCAATAGATGACACATAGTGCTTACTTTGTGCCATGCACTATTAAATATGGAGTCATTTAATCCTTACAACAATCCCATGAAAGTAGGTATTATTACTGTTAAGTCATTAATTCTAAGATGCACGGTTTTATACATTTTAACATGTCTGAAACTAAGAAGATTCTTGCAAATGACAGTGTATCTTAGTTTAATGGCAGTGCTTTTACTTTCTCATTGGCACATAAATAACGTTGCCCCTTATAATCAATGGTAGCTTGGTTTCTATGCAATAAAGTATCATTTGCATTTTACAGAGGAAGAAACTGGGCACTGAGAGGTTAAGTGCGTTGCCCAAGGCCACACAACTACTAAGTGATGGAGCCCAGGCAGTCTTGATCCCAGGTCTGAGCTCTTAAACACTTTAGCAACTTCTCCAAATAACTTCCTTTCCTTCTTACAAGTCATCAAATTGGGACCTGTAAGGACACCAGATCCAGATGCCTCATTTGATGAGTGGAAAAGCAGATCTCTCCGTTAGGAGCCATCTCACAGGCTGTGTCTCCTCCTGGAGGGCCCAGGAGGAGCTGGGGCAAAGGTGGAGTGGGGGAGGCTATAAAGATAGCTCCCTAAATAAGAATGGCCCCCCGCAAGTAAATTTCTATGAAAATAGAGTAAATGAGAGGACTCTGTAGGGTCTGGAAGCTTTCTTGATCTTGTAGAGAAATAGCAAAACTCACACTATATGACAGCTATGGGAGAAACCACTAACAGTGTTTGTACTATTTGATGTAAACTGTGGTTTTTGTTAGCCAAAGAAACCACCATCAAAAGTGATATTCCTGTTGCAGGTGGCTGAAGCCACATGCCCGATGGGGTTCCAGAGTTCTATTAAATCCCAGCCACCACAGCATGCTTTTGAGACAGCGCAAGCTTGATAGCATTAGTAAATTAGAGGCCAAAAGGGCGCAGAAACATAAGAGCTTTTCTAAAATTTAAAAGGAACAAAATTTTTACTTTCAGTGAGCAGAATCATTAATTTCCAAGTTCATGACAGTGCCAAAAATAGCTGGCAGGGAAAATGCAAATGGCTTTGTGCCAAAGGAAAAACTGGGCTTAGAACATTCCTAAGCATCAATTGAAGAGAGCAGATTGATTCTGCCGTTCCCACTATACCAGGAAGACATTTTAAAATCCAAAAGGTAGGTCACAGGGAGGGGCCAGGAACCCAGTAACTTTCTTCTTGAAAAAAAGTAGCCGAAATCTGTGATAAAACCTAAAGTGTCAGAGAAACTAAGAGAAACACTAATTCTAGCTCCAAGCCCTACTGAACAAAAGCCCCAAAGTCGGCCTGGAATCAGTTTTTCCATTTGGTCTCACCCTGCTTCTGCAGCCGGAAAAGCAGCTAAGGAGTTCCAGCGAAAGCCCCCTTCCAACAGTAGCATCTACCATGCAAAAAGGTGTCAAAAGGGAAAAAAATGAAAACAATACGAGTAAAATAAAATAATAATAAGGCTGTTTCGTCTGTTCAGGATTTTCACTATCATTACAGCCTAGAAAATGCAAGACTTACCTAAGCTCTTAGAAACAAAAAGGCTGAGTTATTTTTCTTTTACTGAACAGGAAGGAATCATTTAGCTAGATCATGTTCATCTCTAGACGGTTTTAAACTCTGAACTCAGAATATAATTCTGGTAATATTTTCATTACTATATCATCCTTCCCCTCCATTATTTCTCAATCCCTTAATATAACTCTAGACACTGAATTCTGGTTCTACTTCATCTGTAAAATACGGAGTCTGAGTTAGATAATTACTCTTGTAGGTCCCTTTCCAGCTCTGATGTTCTAACAGCCAGGCAGTATTAAAAAAAAAAAAAAAGTACTTATTAAAGCATAGGAAAGAAGGGGAGGAAACTAGCAGGATTCACTTTCATAGAAAAATGTCATTAATTCTACTTTGGACATAGTGGTCTCCTCTTTGAAAATACAGCCCATCCTTAAAGAACAAATACTAAACAGGCTATAATTACTATAACCAGGTGGTAGGAACACCAATCCCTGCCTTTCGATTTCCCAACTTCAAACTTCTTTAAATTGAAGACTTCCTCTAAGGTCATAAAGCTTTATTTCACTGGAACCCAGGGCGGGCAGAGGTCAGAATCACGTAACAGCAATCCTTCCCCACTGATTTTTGTGAACACACTTGCTTCGTCCTGCCCGTTGCAGAGGCATGAAACTTACTAGATCAGAGATGTTATGTAAAGTCACACTTCCTACATCTGCGGCTTAGATGAAACTGTAGTTTCATTGTCAGATGAAACTGGATTGTTTTTCTAGGATAAACTGAAAATGTGCTTTCCTCCTCAAGACCTTGTCTTCCCATACAGAACAAATAAAGTGGTCTCAGCTTTAAATGAAGGCCTGCCAGCTTGTTCAGAATATTAAAGCATTGAGCTTGTAAGCATGGAACACTTTGTGCCTAAAACACAAACCCCAAAGACAGGAACTTTCCTTGGAATTAGCCTACATTCACATTTACCGCGGGCTTGGAAACAAAGTGTATTATTTCCACTGCCTGAGTCATTTAGCCATGCCCATGGCCAACAGAGACAACATGGTGGCAAAGTTTATGTCAAATGATAATATTTTGGCATGTTATCAGCAAGGTGATGTAAACTAAAAGGGAGGGTAAGAGGAAGGCAGCCTTGGAGCCAGAATGCTTCGCTGGTCAAAAGGATTTCAGAGGTTTTCTGAAAAGACAAGAGGGTGCGGACTTACTGGACTCGAACATGGCGACAAAGCAACATGAGGATACTGCAAAAAACTAATGATGGAGAAGGAGTGCCTGAGCTGCTCGTCCATTTGCCCCAGGCTCAATATCGAGCATGACCATGACACTACAGAACATTCATGTTAAATCCTACACACAGTCAAGTCCTGGATGCTGAACCTCAGAATGCACCATCACTACTCGATAATGCACAGAATGAAGTGTTTCTAAGGGGTAAACTGTGCTCCATTTAAAATTAGGTCAACAACTAAATGCAATGGGTTTACAGGACTTTGTTGAAGATTATCACCAGCGGATTTAATTTTGAAAATTAGCTCTGACTGTGCGGCTCAGTTGGTTGGGCACTGTCCCGCAAAGCAAAAGGTTGCCGGATCAGTTCCTGGCCAGGGAACATGCCTTGGTTGTGAGGTCGGTCCCTGGCTGGGGCCCGTGCAAGAGGCAACCAATAGATGTTGCTCTCTCACATCAATGTTTCTCCCCCTCTTTTCCTCCTTCCCTTTCCCTCTCTCTAAAAATAAATAAATTTTTAAAATATTTTTTAATTTTGAAAAACATATTTTCTATAAAAACAAAACTGAACCAAATTACTCAAATGACAGCTTAAATTAAATTAAAAGATAAGGGGCAAAGAGCAGCAACCTACCACTGAAAATTATTCAAATTTCATACTAGCAAAAGCTAAAAAGCCAAAACTGTTTGATCCCTCAAATCTCCCTTTCCCTTTAAGAGAAAATTCCATCAACAATTACTTCATGAATAACTCTTACCTCTACCACTCTTTTTGAATCTTAAAATTGCTTCAGTTACCACAAGAGAATGCACTTTGTTTTTGAGAGGGCGGGCAAACAGTTACGAACACCTGCAGACACCCACTAGACAGGAGCTGAAGAAGGCAGGGGCTGAGGAGCCCTGTCCCTCAGCTGGGCTCTGCCTCTTCCTCCCCAGCACTCACGAGAGGCACCACCGAACTGTTTCCTCAGTGCACCTGGAAATGAGGGGGGGGGGGGGTGGGGGTGTGTGTGTGTGTGTGTGTGTGTGTGTGTGTGTGTGTGTGTGTGTGTGTGTTTGCGCGCGCATGTATATATGTATGTATCTATGTATGTATCTATGTGTGGGCGGTGGTGGGATTGCTCAGAAGAGAATATTAGAAGCAAACTGGGACCTAAGTCTCCCAAGTCATAAATAAATAAATGGAGGTGAGATTCTCAAAATTAGCCAAGTTGTCTAGTGCAACATGAAATCAGAAACCACAGGCTCTAGGAATTTCTTTCTTCTATCTCACTCCAGGAAGAAATATCACAGCTTTACAAAACGATAACAGGAAAAAAAAAAAATACAGAGGAGAGTAGACTGGAAGACAATGTTGTTTGCAATGTCAATATTAACCGAAGTGATTTACAGATTCAGTGCGATCCCTATCAAAAAATCAATGAGGTTTTTTGCAGAAATAAAAAACCCATCCTAAAATTCATCTGGATCTTGAGGGACTCCTCGAGATGGCCAAAACAGCCCTGAAGGAGAATAAACCTGGAGGTCTCCTATGTACTGACTCTAAAACCTGCTACACAGCTACAAGTAATCAAAACAGCATGGACTGGCATGAAGGCAGACATACAAACCCAATGGAACGGAACAGAGAGCCCAGAACTAAACCCTCACATATACATGGTTAAAGGGTTGTGATGACGGTGTCAAGACCATTCAGTGGAGAAAGGGTAGTCTTTTCAGCAAATGGTGCTAGGAGAACTGAATATCCACATGCAAAGGAATAAAAGTGGGACTCGTACCTTACACCATACACAAAAGTTAACTCAGAATAGACCAAAGACCTAAATATGAGAGCTAAAACTATAAAACTCTTAGAAGAAAACACAGGGGAAAAGCTTCATAACATTGGTTTGGAAATGATATGCTTTTCTGGAAATAAAGCACAACACACTGAAAATACTGTGTATCTTCTTCTATCTTCAATTATTAAAACAGCTGCCCAAAAATTCACCAATTTTGATAATTTTTTAAAATGCACGCTGATACGACAGCTGTCACATTATAATCTAACAAAATTGTTTCAAATGAAGTTCAAGACAACTAAGCACTACTACAACTATTGTACAGAAAAAATATAACAGACTTTTTGACCAACCCAATGCAAAAAGTAATAAATAATATACCAGAATAAACTCTGTTTCTCATACAATTGCCTACTTGTGCACACCCCTGTGTATTCCAGCACTTCACTTGGGTGAAGACCACTGTAGGGTAACCAAGTAAGTTATCAAAGTATTATAGAGAATGTTAAAGCAGGAGGAAACCTTAGTAATCATCTAACCCAATTCCCTTTATTATGCAAGACAGAAAGTATAAAAGAATACAGTGTTGCTAGAGTTAAGCCTGGAATTATTCCCAAGGCATCTTACCTACCAGGATGTGAACTTAGAAAAAGTAGCAGCATAAAAAAGAAAGAAAAAATTGCAGCACATGCCCAAATTCATTACAAATAAGTAAACATCTGTATATATTTACAGAGTCTTTTAAATGGGAAAATTAGATATAATGATAGTAAAGAAAAACCAGATGCTAGTACAGTTGACACCTGAACAAGGGTTTGAACTGCAACGGCCCATTTATGAGGAGGCTTTTTTTCCAATAAATACCTGTACTGCTTTCAAGCTGTGATGGAGAGTCCACAGTATGGAGGGCCAACTATATGAATTGAGCTATATTCTACCATTTTATAAAAGGGCCTTGAGCATGTGCGGATTTTGGTATCAGCAGGGGTCCTGGAACTAATCTCCTGCAGATACTGAAGAACAACTTAAGTTCTGGGGGAGTCAGAAGTTACATGCAGATTCCCCCTAACTGCCCTGTTGTCCAAGGGTCAGCTATATAATTCAACTAGGAATGACCTTAAGAATCAGACTGAATTAATTTTCCCAGTGCTAAATAAAACTTCAGATATAAAATAATGCTACTTATCAGAATGCCACACACTTGAGCTAAACATTACCCAATTTCTATCTTGGAATCTGTAAATAAATTCATTGTTATACGTAGCCCTATGTAATATAAGTTAAATATAAAGACAGATGTTAAGTCTAAGATGAGCTTTCTAGCATTTGCCACTTGCCTGTAGTAACGTGACTGTAAGTAGGTTGAGCACACAGCCTTGGAAACATGACTAGCAGAACCAAAGTCAATGACCTTCACTCGGTAGGGTTGGCGCACTGGGTCGACCAGCATGATGTTTTCTGGCTTAAGGTCGGCATGAATCAGACCGAGGCTCTTGAGCTTCATCAGGGCTGTGGCCACCTGCTGCAAGATTGGTCTGATGTACTTGAGGGGCAGTGGGCTAAACTTGTTCTGCTTCAGAAAATCGTACAAGTTCTGCTCCAGCATCTCAAACACGAGGCAGGTGTGATTCTTATGCTGAAAGCACTCGTAAGAACGCACGAAATTATACTCATCGGCATTTTCACTGCTTAGGCGGGAAAGGATGCTCACTTCAATCTGTCCTTGTCTGGCATAGGAGGGGTGGTTCTTCAAGATCTTGATGGCCACAATTTCCTTGGTGCTCCGCTTCCAGCACTTAGCCACCTGCCCAAATGTTCCCCGGCCCAGGAACTCCAGGACTTCATAGCTGTTGGTCATAGAGCAAAGGATCTCATGCTGGACCAGCTGGTAATCCCCTTCCCCGCTGGAACTGCTACTCTTTGTGGTCACAGTGGTGGTCGTGGCAGCAGCACCCACCACAGTCCTGTTTTGCAGCATGAGAGGGGGATGTTCTTCTATGATTTGCACGCTACCGTTGCTGTCAACTTCCTCACTTTTTCTTTTCAGTCCACATTTTTGATATGGCTCAAGCAAAGAAACGTTGCTCCTGTGAGTCAGGGTCTGGCTGCTCTGGAAGGTCGATGGGGCAGCACTGGCGGAGCTGTCAGCAGCTGTCACCACAATGTGCTCCACGGCAGGGGCTGGGAGGAGGAGGCCCTGGTCATAAGCAGGGATGTTGAAATTTGCTACCTGGTGAGAGGAGTTGGCTTGCCCTTGGGTGGCTGGGAGGGTTTTGCTGTGGGTATAATATTTGTCGTTGCTGCTCTGTCCAGAAACATCCCAGCCAGAGGGCTCTATTTTCAGTTTCTTCGCACTGCAGAAGGCACTCGACGACACTGATGGGGGGGAAAACACCTGCAGCTGTGATGCCATACCTGCCGGGAAAGAGGGAGAGTCAGGCGCTCCGTTTCATACAAGCCCTCGCTTCGCAGGCAAGAACGTTTCTAGCTTAGAAAAACCACAAGTAAACACATCGGGCTGGGGTTTTATGTTATACATTTTCCAAAGTATGCTTCCTGTTACAGAAGGATAAACTTTATGGCCTAATTACACATCCTTAATCGCTCTTTGAAACTCAACAATAATAGTGCATACTGTTAAAGGAGTATAAACATCTATGATGGTTTATAAAGAATAACATGTAGTTTAGATGATTGATTGCTTACTATAGAGTAGGCTAAGCTCTTCACATGCATTACTCATTTAATCCTCACCACAAGGCTGTGAAACAGAAACTGTTACTATTATTTCCATTTTATAGATGAGGAAACTAAGGCACAGAGTGGTTAAAGTAATTTGCCCAAAATAACACGGCTCTTAAGTGGCAGGCAGCACTGTCATTCAAACCCGGGCCCCGTGGCCGCAGGCCTCAGTTCGCAGCTCTGTCTTCATTCCTGTCCTGATTAACTGTTTAAACAATTACTTAAATTTAGGCATAGATGGCACACTTATAAAATGCACAGAGGAGCCGAATTTGGGCAGGATACTCAATACCGCTAAATAACAGGTCCAGAAAGAGCACCATGGGATAGAAACCACAGGCAGGTCCCGCAGATTAAATTGAACACAAATATTGACTCTTACTTAGATCCAAAATACAACCAGCACAAAGGACAAGGATGAGAGACACAAGGGTTAGCACTAAAATATATGAAAAACACCTTTGGTGGGTAAGGAAACATTGTTATAATGTTCCCCTCATGTCAAAGGCTCATTTAATCTTAAACTATACTCACAGAAACCGTGGCCAGAACAGGACGGATAATGTGAGGGCTATCCATTCTGCTCAGATCATGCATAAAACAGTGTCTAGCTCTGTCCACTGCACTGTAAAAGGAACACTGGCAAACTGGCCAGAAGAAAGCAATGAGGATGACTCAAAGCCTGGGCAGGGTCTTCTGAAGAAACGTGGGATGTTATTCTTAGGAAAATAAGGGGAAAGGGAGCCCACCTGTCCCACAGTCACCTCAGGCTCAGCACACCCAAAGACTAAGCCCAAAGCTAATACTTTCAGAATAAAGTCCAAACTTTGGACATAGCATGCAAGCCATTTCACACTCATCTTCTCCCTTCTCAACAACACAGCCCTCGCATGCCTTGGGGCTTTACACTAATTCCTCTTCTCTGCTCCATACCTTCCCCCCCTTTCAATAACTACTTCCCAGGATTAATCATCTGCAAAAGATTCTCAGATCTCTGTCTCTAACCCAGATTTCTCTCTCTTGAACCCCAAATCCTTTATTTCCAAATAACCACTTCACACTGCAGCTTGGATATCTTACAGACACCTCAAATTTGAAATTAAACTTAGGAGCCTCCACCCCACCCCAGGTTTCTATGTCAATTATGAGACACCACCATAGATCCAACACCTCAAGGCAAAAATTAGGGAGGCAACGAGTCTGTTTCTTTACCTATTACGTACTGATAGCAATGTCTGCCTCGAGTTATTATGAGAATCTAAAGATTCAATACATGTAATAGTGCCTGAAACTCATTCGCTATTATTATCCTGACTTATTCATCTCCTTTATCCATATCTAATCTGTAACGAAATCTTCAATTTTACCTCAGAAGAGTATCTCAAATCAGCCATTTTTCTCTACCCCTATTGGAACCATTCTAATTCATTCAGACTTCCAGTAGCCTCTAAACTAATCTTGTAAGGGGGGATGGGGAGAAGTCCTATGCAAACTGGATGACAGCCCTTTCTTTTTTAAGCACAGAAGTCATCAGGATGGTGCAAAGCCTTCGCCCTCCTCCTGTCTCCCAGGTTTCCTTGCACCTGCCTTAAAAAGCTCTCCCAAACTGCCCTGGCCAGGTGGCTCAGCTGGTTGGAGCGCCCTGTACACCAGAAGGTTGTGGATTTGATTCCCCATCAGGGGACAAGGTCTAGGTTGTGGGTTTCAGCCCCCGACTGCACCTGCAGGAGGCAGCCAATTGCTGTTTCTCTCTCACATTGATGTTTCTGGCTCTCTTGCCCTCCTTCTCTCTAAAATCAGTAAGCACATCCTTGGGTGAGGATTAAAAAAAACCAAAATACCAAAAACCTCTCCAAAACTCAGCAAACTTTGACTGCTGTCTTCCAAAATCTTCCCACCTTAATTCCGCCATTCCAGGCATACTGCCCTTCTTTAAGTGTTTTGGAAAGCCCTCGAATTCAGCATCGATTTTCTGCTGGGAAAACTGTTCTCTCTCTCTCTCTCTCTCTCTCTCTCTCTCTCTCTCTCTCACACACACACACACACACACACACACACACTCCCCCACATAATCACTACCACCACTGCCCCGCCCCCTACCATGCACTCCCATAGCGCCCTGTTCCTCCCTTATAACTTGAAAGTATTTATTACATTTCAGCTACAGAGTAAGTTCCATGAGGAAGGGCAGGTACCGTATCTGTCTTGTTATGCTTCATGCCACCAGAACCTACCACAGACTCTGGTAATACACAGACATTCAGTGTTCGTTGGGTGATGTGACCCTGTCTATCAAGGGCATAGCTACTCCCTACCATTCATATTAAACTGCAGAATTTTCAAATGTTTGTTTTGGTTTTTAATGTCCCTGTCTTTCAGCTGTGCAGTACTAAAAAAACTGGGGAAGCCCCATTCCAATACACATAGTATAATTTTATAGTCATAAGAGAATAAACGCACAACTAGAAAGGAAGAAAGCGTGGAAAAGGATGTTACAGAACATGAAAAAGCAATGTGTACGTTTCTTTGGGCCTGAATACAACTAAAAACCATCTGCACTGGCCTAGACAGCTGGAACGAACAAATCCTCAGCCTTCAATTTCTAAAAAGGCAGTCTGGATTTACTTCAAACAAGAGTTTCCATAATTTAAATGAACCTTGAAAAGAAAAAAAAAAAAGTGCAAATTAAAGGCCAAAGTCAGTGCAATTGAACTCCAAGACTATGAATTTACAAATCAACTCGTTCTACCTACGTCGCTGACACAATACTAAATTATAATAGGCTGGTGTATCTCTCCACACCAGGCCCCTCTCCTTTCTTGGAGAGCGAATAAAAACTTTATTCTCTACACTTTCCTCTCTTAGGGAATTCTTTCCGAGCCCGCATCACCGACCGCCCTAACCGTTTGGTGGCCCATACAGGGACATTCTCTCTTTCTCCCTCTCCTCCAGCCTCCTGAGACTTGCGACTAGGGAAGCAGTGGGCAGCGGAAGCCTGACCCGGGCTAACCTATCTACCCCTGTCTCTCTGAGGCTCCGAGAGAGGATTCTAGTGCTTCTCCAACTCTCCGGACTCTGCAGACAGCCTCCCCCTCACCCGTCCGCAGGGCCAGAGATCGGTATCAAAAATTTGGCGACTCCAAGTCTTGCCTGGACTCTGGATGTCACCAGAAAGATTTAAGGAATTAAGATTGACTTTCCAAGCCAATTAGAGCCCCTGGGAAAACCGGCCTGGCGCCTTGCTTTGTCACTGGTTCAAGGCAGTTTTTCCAGGACTGGAAATGACTGGAGGCAAGAACAGATCTAACCACTCCCTCCAGCCACAGGCAGAAGATAACACTGGAACAAGCAGCGGCCTCACGTTACAACCCCCAACAGCCCGGGGGCCGCACAACAGCAACCCCTCCACCCTTTTTTAATCCAATCACACCTTCCTAGAAGCTCAAAGCCCCCACCCCTCAATGCTGGTGTTTCTCTTCACACCATGTCCCTCCCCTTTCTTGGAGAGTGAATAAAAACGTTATTCTCTACAAACAAAAAACTAAAAAAACCCAAAACCTTAAATTATAATAAAAGAAAATTGTGAAACCATGTAGTAGTATCTTTGCAAAGTTTACCTATTGAAATATATGCAAAAAATACTTGTGATCATAAAATTGAGCCAATTTTGAGCAAGAAAGTAAATTTGCAAAAGTTGTTTTCTATTGTCTATCTGTTGAGCTACTAATTTAAAAAACATAGGCCTAAAATTATTTAGTAAAAGAACTGGAATACAAAACTTGTAATTTGTAGCTATGTCTAGGAATATGTGGGCTTAAAATAATATTGAAAAGAATTCATAAGATGTAATGCCAAATTTTTTTAAGTATGTTTGTAACTAGACACTTTTTTAAAACACTGCATTTACCAGAGTAATGTTAGTGACAACTTTTCGCCCAGTAAACAAAGTAACAGGTACTGATGGTTTCAAATCTTCACATTCAGCACTGCAAAAAGCACAAGTAGCTGAAAATTTTCCTGAAAGTTTAAGTATATAAATGAATATAATTCTTATTCAGTGAGAAAAAGTTAAGTCCACCCACAGGAAAAGAACAACCCAGACCTTCACCCGGGCCTGCCCTGCAGCCAGGGCGCGCGGCACTGAAATCAGCACCCGGCCACCAGGACCCTTGCTGTGGCTGCGACCCACGCGGACCGCAGTGAGTGCAAGGAGAGAAGAAAACACAGAATCAAAATGGCCTACAAAAATCAACACTCTTATTTATATAACATTCTGAAATTCAGCTAAAAACAGCCATTTCTAAACACAGGATGAAGATACTACGTTCCACAAAATTTGCCTTTGCAAATGGGCAGGCAATTTTCTTCCTAGGCTGAGACCTACCAAAGAAAAATAGAAACAGAATTAACATCTGTGGGAAACTTACTGTGTATCAGACCACTCTGCTAAGGAAATCACAGTTGACTCTTGAACAATGTTGGCGGGGGGTAGGGGAGATTACCTGCACAGTTGAAAATCTCCCAAAACTTGACTATACTACAAATATTTTCAATTCACATAACAGCTCCCAATAAACTAGAAGTCATTTCCGACTTCCTGAAATGCTGTACCTCGACTCCAGCAATAAACTAGTCTTTACATTTCAAACCTGACTTTCCAAGGATTGAACCAT